AGCAAGAGGCATTGGCTCCCGCTGTTGTCATTCAAATTCTGTGACATGGCAGCGGAGCCAAGCCATGCTGTTTGTGTCTATAGACACAGGTGTGCCACAATAGGAAGTGGCTTTCTATTGTGACACACTGAAAAGAGGAGCCAGGAATGCCGCCGGGGGACCTGAGAAGAGGAGGATCGGGGCTGTTCTTTTTCAATTCTATTGCACGGAGTAGGTAAATATAACATATTTTGTTTATATTAAAAAAAAAAAAAACGTTTAAAGACACTCTAACACTCAAGTGCTAAACACACCTAGAGTTAATGTGTGCTTAGATGTGTTTCCACTCCTCAAGCATTTTTTCTGCCAAAACACCTTTGCTACTGGATGTACTGGCAGTATTTTTTTTTTGCCTTTAAACTTCACTAAACGCCAATGTGTGCGTGGGCACACGGGTTACCATGGAGCTGCATTTAGAGGCAGAAAAAACGCTAGACACCCCTAAGAGCAGCGTTTAATATGTCCAGTATGCATGAGGCCTAACTGCTAATTTAAAATTAGAAAGAAAAATAGTATTTGCTACTGTATATACATTTTTTGCATTAAAAAAAACTGAAAAGGTTTTTTAAAGGAATAGATTTGCATGCTGACCAATCACTAGGTGGCAGATGTTTGCTTGTGTTATCGGTGCTAGTCACAAGCTTAGCTAATATTAAAGGAGCAGTTTCTGCCTGTGCTTTTCTATGTATAAGCTATCATGGATTAAATCCGTGACATCCTCCTTTAAGTGTACAGAACTGGATCAATGCCTGTAAGCATTAGAAAGAGTAATGAATTGGCAGGTTGACATGACCTGAATAAGTAGTGCAATTGGAAGAATGCAGTTTAAAGTCATTTTAAGAGCTCATAAGAATATTTGCATTAAAATGCACATGGAGTTCTGTGTAAAACTGGCCATACACAGCATAATTTGGTTGGTTGTTATCAGATGATAAGATCTTCAAATAGTCCTCCATCTCAAGTGCAGTGATCACATTGAGAAATTCAAATTTAATTCAGTGGGTACAGTTTTCTGCAGATATTCATCTGCTGCACTTGGTTCCTCTTTGTCTCCTTTTCAGGAAGCAATATATACTTGCGCATGGACTTCAACAGTATTGTAATTCACTGGCAACATTCTGTTGTTGACTTGTTTTTCTACTTTTTGTTATCTGGAAAACTAGAACTTTTGGAATTTAAAAGGTAATATAATATTGTAAGTGCTGCCGCCCCCAACACTTACACTTAATTAGAATACAGATCAGAACAGATGAGCATTTGCTTAAGCTTCTAGCAGCTCAGTGGCTTTGATTACATTGGCTCTGGCTGTAAGCTGTGCTGAATTACTTTATAGACTTCTATGGGCTGCCCATATTTTAGCCCAGTGAATCAATCATCCGTTTTAACTTTTAAAAGTGAAAATTTAAGGGGATATATTTGAAAAATAATTTCAATAGAAATACAACCAGCGGTGAACAATCATTTTGTGTAAATTGGGCACACAAATGTTTTGAGATTATTTCCTGTGCTGGACTGATGTTTTTCATGAATTGAAAATGGAAAAATACAGAATTTGGCTACTAGATAGTGCTAAGTATCATAGAAATTTCCTATGATGGTTAGTGCCATCTAGTGGCCAAATGCAGCGTTTTCCGTTTTTAAAGCCGATTTCCAGGTTTTCCTTCACTTTAAATAGTTTGTTTTGACCAAGCTAGTCCAATTGAACCATATCCTTCATTAAGTGCTGCAGTGTCTCTAAGCACTGTATGTACTGCATGTAGCTTCAGCCTGGTTCCAGCTGTGAGACAGAGACTTTCCATGTCAAACCCGGAAAAAATGAAGAGTCGATCTGAGCTGCACTCAGCCATTCATAGGCAGCTTTGTTTCCTGTGAATGAACACAAAGCTTCCTCTGAATGGCTGAGTTGGAGAGCATGATATCATCAGCCTGCCACTCTGTCTCAGCCAATCAGAGGAAACTTTGAATTCATTCACAGAATACAAAACTGCCTGTAAATGGCTGAGTTCCTCTTAGACTGACTTTGCATTGTTCTGAGTGTGAGACAGGAAGTTTGTGTCTCACAGCCAGATCCCCCAGCACTGTGTATTGTATGTAGCTGAAGCTTCATACAGTACTTAGAGACACTGCAGCACTTAGTGATGGAATTAGTTTGTTTGGATCATCTTGGTACAAACAAACTATTTAAAGTTAAAGTAAACATGGAAATTCTCTTTAAATCCATGAAAGACATTTATCCAGCACAGGAAATAGCCTAATAACATCCATTTCTTTCGTATTCACACAGAACAAATGTGCTGAATTGTATTGGGCCACCTGCTGTCCGGGGAAATTTTTAAATTTCTTCACATAAGTGGTAAAATCAACATTTTTTGCTGATAATTTACTTAGAACACCAAATATTATCATTCTTTGAAATAATGATGACCTTGGAGAATAAAATGGTGGTAGTTGCAATTTGTTATGTCACCCATTACTAACACATGAATTTCAGTTCAGACAAACATAATATAATATCCATTTTTTGGTAATATATATGATGATACATCGAGTAAATCGATACCAAACATGTCAAGGATCAGGATCACATGGATTAACTACACTCTTCTCAAACTTTATTGAACACTTCTCATTAAAAACATCATATAGAGGGGTACAACAGAACAAGGCATCATTGACACATTTCGCGCTGTGACAGTGCTAAGTCGTAACCTGATACCAAGCATGTTGAGATTTAAATTGCGCACACCTTTGAAATGGTGACAAATTACAGTACCTAAAATTGTCCATAGGTAACACTTTAAAAGTATTTACAGGTCATCAGTTTAGAGTTTAGGCCTCATGCACACAGGACGTTTTAAAAACACTCCCACTCTTGGCATTAGCGTTTTGGCAGAAAAAACACCTGATACTTGTCAAAGTGTCTAATGCTTTTACAAGTGTTTAGGCGTTAAGCACTTAGACATTAATTCATTTCGTTGGGCAGAATAATAGTTTATTCTAGCTCTATTTTCTTTTCTTTTAGCTTTATTTCTATCATATGGTAGTGAACAAGCCCCCTTGTGATAGCTTTTGTCAGGTGGCAAGTACTCTTTATTGAAACATAAGAAGTCTTTTAGAACCCTGATGTCTTCCTTGCCATCCAAAGCAGTTTGGTGTCCACCTCCAATTTGATGGGATATGCCCGGGAGACTGGCTTGGAGTGCTTTTGATCTTTTAATTATTTGGATTGCATTCATTGTTTTTGGTTAAAGATCTGAGTCTGCTGTTGTATTGAGGAACATTTGGGGTTGCTGCGAGGCCAGGGTTTGGGCAATTGGACCTACTTTGAGATCTAAGAAAACATTAATTTGGCAAATAGGTTCATTAGAGTAAATATTTCAGGATTGCCATCTTGCTTTCCCTCAGATGCCCCCTTCTGTTATTGAGAATCCCTATTCCAGTAAACCGTACAAAAACCCTATGATTTTTATATTATTGGGTTCTCTTATAAAGACACTCTTCACATGTGCTCCTGATGAAGATGTTTAAACACTCAAAATGCACTTGACATGTGGATATTGAAATGAAAAAAGATCTGTGAATCTTACTTTGGAAATATTGGATATGGTGCTATAAATAATTATAATATATGTATAAACCTTATGATTTTATGAATTTATATTTGTGGTGCCATTTACTATATGCCCCCAAAAAAGTCCATTGTTGCAATCATTTCTTTGTTCTATATGTGCTATTGAGGATGTGGGCATATAGGACAAAGAACCTCTATCCAATCTGTATGCCCTTCAAACCAGTTCACCAAGCATAGACCATGAAACCAGAAGTGATGGATTAATTGTTGCTTCTGGGTTCATTCATCAAAGTGGAGATCAGGGAATGGATATTCCTCCATCTCCTCTGTGGGAAGCCATTTTGACCATTTACCGTAGTTTTGGGCTCTACTGTTGCTTTGAACATTGGTAGGTTGGTTACCTTTGTAGCTCTATAAAAGTGATCACTTTTACCTGCTGAACAAAATGGTACCACGATCATGGCTGCAGCTATAGCCAAGAGCCTGGTATAACCACTTGTTTTCGGGACCATTTTATATGTATGTCGGATAGCAAGTTATTAAAAAACCTCTTCTGTGAGCCTCTATGCTTTTTGAGCTAACCCCTTACAACTGCATCCTCTCTCTGAACCTAAAAGTGAAGATTTGCTGTGTTCTAGAGAACATCTAAACATGTTATTTGCACCTAAGCAGTACCTTGAAAAATGAACTGTTTTGTATGCAATTTCTCCTGAAAAATAGCAACAGACTTCCTGGTATGTGAGCCTAGTGCCTACATCCCCATAGTTTTATTAGATCCAAGGGAATCTTGCCATTGCTAATCTCAGGAGATTTGGTAATATCAATAATAGTCAACTCACTGTTCTGCTTGCTGGAGGCTCTGACATGAAGAAACAAAGCCTTTCCTCTACCAAGCCGTTTACAGCCACACAGAGATGCCATGTGGAATAAGGTCAGTAATAAATACAAGGGTCAGCTACAGGTAGTCTGCAGACAGTACTAGTTAGTCATCCTTTGCCCTCTGCATGCCTTTTTTTCTGGGCACAGCTTTCAGGGTTTTTTCTTCTTTATGTGCACCTTTTTTAGGACAGGGTACAGGCAGGGGGCAGAACTCCAAGAGTTGTAAGAGCAGTGTTGTGAGTGCTTAGTTATTGCTTTCCAACCAAGTTTCTTTTTCTGGAAAAGATGTGTGTGTTGTGTGCTCTGGCGCTCAACAGCAGGATATTTTGTAATGGCTGCCCATATTATAGTCCAAGGCCTAAGATGGATATTACTAGCCCTTCAGTGTCCGGATTGGATTATTATCTTCTAAAGTTTTCATTATTCAAGGTCTGCCAATCTGCAAATGAATGTTTTTTTTTTTTTTTTTTTTTTTTTTTTTTTTTTTTTATTTTATTGCCTTTGTTCACAGTGTCTTCTTCGTTCTATGGGGCAGAACAAAAGCCAGAAATTGGACAGCCTGGTCTTGCTGCATCTGCTCCTTTGTCTTTGATGGCATATGCGAATTCTACTACTAGTACTACTACCAAACAGCCATCAGAACCTGCATCTTTGAAGTCTTCTCTTCATCCTCCTCCACCAGCAATACAGCAAGGTAAACAGAACTATATTTTAGATATAACAGAGTTAATAAAAAGTGTAAACCTTGCCAAAATACAATGTATGTATTTGTGGTACAGGTGGAGTTATAGTATTTTAGGCTCAATTCGCAGAACTAAAACATTAGGATAAGAATCCTCATTAAAAAAAAAAAAAAAGATGAGTTTCACTGACAATTTTCAGGTCAGTTTAACGTGATTTTGAATATGCCACATGGCTGCAAATCAAGATCCTTTTCATTCTGTAAAACTTTTTGCATTGACCCTATAGATGGCTGCTAGGATAAATCAAGTCTATTTTTAAGTCTGTATAGCATTTGTGTTTTTTTTTTTTTGTCACACCTTACCTCAATTAGTGCTAAAAATTGTCAGGTATTTAAACAAATAGAAGGCAGCTATTTTATGGAATGGTGAAAAAATATTGGTAGTTTAGGATTACTCTACCATATGTTTAGGCTATGAGAGGGGGCTGATAAACAGTCCCAACAGCAGCTTATCTGGGGGAAATAAATGCAATAGGCCAAACAAAATCAAAAGGGTAGATCGCTATGTCATCTAAGACTGGTTGGCTGTGGTGTGATGCCTTTGGTCGACTCAAGACATGGGAAAAATCAATTTTGCCCAGGTTAGGTAATGATCATTAACCTCCTTGTGGCCAATAGTATGCCCTGCAGGACTTCAGTTAAGCCCACACGTAGCATAAGTAGTGCTCCTAGCATCACCATTCCCAACACCCACTGTGCTTGCTCTCTCAGTTTGATGGTTGAACTCCTGCTCATTACTTAGCAGACAGTGGCTGGGTCTTCAGTGATCACTGTAGCAGCTTGCTGTAATAATCATTACTATTTACAGTACAATGTAACATTTGTGCTGCATTGGTGGGATTAGGTGCAGATGTTTCAATTTGATGTGACTTTGTATCACGTTAAAGTACAACAGCATAAATAAATTAATAGTGGACTTCAGCTCAGAATGTGGCATTCTCCTGAATTTAGCCTACTTAGGTCTTGTGTCATGTTTGAAAAAACTCAGAGGGGGGGAGATTGTGTAACCTGGCTTCATAGGCTATGGCTTTACCATTATAGCTTACTGAGATGGGGCTTTCTCAATACAGTATATCCTTTGGACCTAGATATACAAACAGTTTGTCAAAGAGGCTAAAAGATCATTAATGTCTGGAGGCTGCCACATTTCTGGTGTGTTTTTATTTTAGCTGTCCATGTTATTGAAGAGGAGGGGTCAAATTGTAACATGTATAGTAAGCATAAAGTAGAACTATAGGCAAAACTCCTCCTCCTTTTTTCATTTTGGATAGAGCAAGGGAGGGTAATAACCCGTCAGATTTTTTTTTTTTTTTGCCATCTCTGTCCCATTGGGGAGATTTCCCCTCACTTCTTGTCCCATAGCCAAACAGGAAGTGCAAGGATATCCCTGCAAATTAAGGGAATTTCTTGGCGACCCCCAGGTCACCAGGACTAGTGTCCCCATTGGAAGATTTCCCCTCTATTACTTCTCTGGGGACAACCCAAAATTTGGGATTTTCTTTCACTTTCTTAGAACGGTAGACAAGACAAGTAGGGTATATCTCCCTAACAGGGGCAGAGGTAACTTTCACTTTCAATGATAAGGGTAAACAGGACAAATAGAGAGGGTAAATCTCCTTAACGGGGGCACAGATAGCAATAAAAACTGACAGGAATTCCAATTTCTCTCCACTCTATCCAAAACTTTTTGCCTTTAGTTATAATATGACTAAAACAAACTGTTTCATTTTTGTTGTATGGGCACTCCCTTTCCTTTTCACTAGAGTGCCAAGCTACGCTTGTGATTTTAATCGCTTGTTACTGATGTAACCCCTTGCTGGCAGTCACCTCAATAGACTAGAGCTACACCGGAGGTTTGTTTTTTATTTTCACTTAATATATTTTTTTTCCTAAAGATATGCAAATTCTGTATAGGCATATCTATTAAAAGAGACGTGCAGGTTTTGAAAAAAAACAAACAAACAGACATACATACTTACCTAGTTGAATGCAGCATCAATTTGATACTGCCTCTAACCCCTGCCGTCTGTACACTGAGAACTGAGCAATGAAAGGCTTCTGATTGCTCGGTTCTCATTTTCCAGTGAGCAGAGAGCTGGTGACTATTGGCAACCGGTTCTCTGCTCTGCCACTCCAGCACTTACTAGAGTTCCGGCTGTGGAGGGGTTGGGGGCAAATAGTTCAGGCTTTCAGCAGTTGGGATCTCCTCAGTCTGGACTGGCTGATTAATGTTAGCCAACAGTGGACTTTAGCCCTCTTTCAGCTGAATGCAGCTTACAGGAGTGACTAACAAAGTACACTCCTCTGACCTACACAAGTAGGACAAGAAAACTTTGGCCCTACTTCTCCTTTTTAGATACAATTTAGGCTTATTTTTTATTACTTGAACATTGTAACATTATAACTAATTACTATGAGTGCCTAAACAACAGAACAACAGTTCTGTCTCAGCCTAGGAAAGACAGGTGGTGCAAAGAGCATGCAGGGCTATAATGTACCAAACCTTTCTATACGCAGCAGGATAATATAGCTAAAGGCACCCCCAATAGACTTCAGAATTAAAGAATTGGGTATCTAAAGGTCCACACAAAAGTGAAGCAAGAATAAAGTAAATGTAAAGGGAGAGGAGGGGGTGATTGAGGAAAATATGAAGGAAAAGGATAGAAAGGTAGGGATGGAAAAAGGAGGCAGGGAGGGCAGAAGCTCTACTATCAGAGTGTCAAAGTCCTTGCAAAAGGTCGAAGGAAGATAGGAATAGATTAGACCAATGGATTTCGGATCTTTCTGAATTTTTTCATGGTGTCAGCCTGTATATCTGTGAGCTTTTCATAAAACATAAACATAAAGAAACCTGGTGCTTGATATCTGCAAAGGGTAATGCGAGGGACTTCCAAGCTCCAGTTTATAACCTTTTGGATTACCTGAAAATTTAAGGTATTAGTTTAAACTGGGAGTTTCTGCTGACTTCTGTTTTTTTCCTAATTTTATTGTTAAGCTGTGCCTTATATGGTTCTTTGCAGAATGAAACACCAGTAACTGTGTATAGCAGCTGATAGATTCTGGTCCAGAAAGGTTTGACCTTTAGACAGTCCTACAGATATGCTGAAATGAACCTATTGCAGAGTGAGTAGAGTGGAGCAGCATGAGTGATCCTTGTAGGCACCAGATACCACTGCAAAAGAGGTTTGTAATTGGCCTGTCAACTCATGGGCCTACTTTTTTGGCCACAGTGGTCTAAATCTGGTTTCAAGTTTCCAGTGGGACACTGTATCAAGATCTGGTTCCCAGTTTGCCACATAAGGAAGGGGGTTGCTCTGTATTGATGTTAGAAGAAAGGAGTATACAAGTGAGAGATGACCAGGGCCCTGGGCATTGTCCAACATTGCCTTTTGAAATGCCATGGCTGACGAGAAGTCAGTTTGGTTTCTTATTATGGATTGGATGAAATGTTGAATTTGAAGATATTGAAATACTTTACTTGATTTGAGCTAATAAGTGTCTGAGAAACTGAAAGGGTCATTTCAACATGTGTTTAGTAAATGAGCAAGTGATCTTACCCTGACTCTTGGGAGGCAGCCAAGGTAGGTTATCTATAGATGTCATGCAAAAAGGATACCCATAAGGGTTTATTGCTTGAAGCTTGTCATTTGAGCCAAATGTGCTGCTTGGTAATATTTTTGAAAACCTGACAAGCCCAAGCCACCTTGTGTCTTAGTTCTGTTAAAAAACCTACTTTGCAACCCCAGGAAGAGAGTCTTTCCATATAACTGGAGAATGTGACATTGTAGCTTCTGCAGTGAAAGTGAGATGTAGTAGCAATTTGTTCCACATATTTTTTTAGGTTTCATTTATTACCAGCAGTTAGTGCATAACACTGAGCAAAACCTTTTAAGTTTGCAAGTGGGCATGTTTGTGTTTTTTTTTTTTTGTTTTTTGTTTTTTGTTTTTTTTTCTGTTTTCTTTTTTCTTTCATTGCAGAAGAGAAATACTACTTCTCTGCAGTAGAGGATTCATATTTTTCTCATGGCAAACTTTTTATACTATACACAGAGCTGCACATGCAAGGCTCATTTTACAGTCCAGTTGTCTGCCAGATGCTGGTATGAATGAATCCCTTGCAGGTACGGGAGGTATGTTATTCCAGACCGAAGAATCCATATCGGGAAGAAGCTGGCGAGGGAGTTAGTGAATTTTGCTTCTCTGGAACAAAGATGGGTATAGCTTTGCTGTAATCTCCAGTAGAAGGATTAAAGCTGGCCATGCATGTTAACATTTTACACACTAAACAGCTTGGATGCTCTATTCTACAGTGTTGGCTATTGTATTCTGACAGCTGTCAGAATACAGGAACAGTGCCTGCATCTGCTTAAATGCAAATACTGTTTGGCTGAGTGTTTGCTGCCTGGCTCCTTCATTAGGTTGATTGAAAAATCAACTTTTTCAGGGGCCACCCAGGGAACATGGTCAACATAAGTTTACTAAAAATCTCCTTTGTATCTCTGGCCTAATGCGAGGACTGCCAGCTAGTGGATCTCTTAGTAGCTAAAGATTAAATTTACTTATGCAGCTGTATTTTGAGTTGTATTATGCTGATGATGCAAATGGTTCATTTTCCAAAATAAAAAAAAGCAGTTTTATTAGTCATTCTTTATTACAGTCAGGTCCATAAATATTGGGACATCGACACAATTCTAACATTTTTGGCTCTATACACCACCACAACGGATTTGAAATGAAACAAACAAGATGTGCTTTAACTGCAGACTGTCAGCTTTAATTTGAGGGTATTTACATCCAAATCAGGTGAACGGTTGTAGGAATTACAACAGTTTGCATATGGGCCTCCCACTTGTTAAGGGACCAAAAGTAATGGGACAGAATAATAATCATAAATCAAACTTTCACTTTTTAATACTTGGTTGCAAATCCTTTGCAGTCAATTACAGCCTGAAGTGTGGAACGCATAGACATCACCAGACGCGGGTTTCATCCCTGGTGATGCTCTGCCAGGCCTCTACTGCAACTGTCTTCAGTTCCTGCTGTTTCTTGGGGCATTTTCCCTTCAGTTTTGTCTTCAGCAAGTGAAATGCATGCTCAATCGGATTCAGGTCAGGTGATTGACTTGGCCATTGCATAACATTCCACTTCTTTCCTTAAAAAAAACTCTTTGGTTGCTTTTGCAGTATGCTTTGGGTCATTGTCCATCTGCACTGTGAAGCGACGTCCAATGAGTTGTGAAGCATTTGGCTGAATATGAGCAGATAATATTGCCCGAAACACTTCAGAATTCATCCTGCTGCTTTTGTCAGCAGTCACATCATCAATAAATTCAAGAGAACCAGTTCCATTGGCAGCCATACATGCCCACGCCATGACACTACCACCACCATGCTTCACTGATGAGGTGGTATGCTTAGGATCATGAGCAGTTCCTTTCCTTCTCCATACTCTTCTCTTCCCATCACTCTGGTACAAGTTGATCTTGGTCTCATCTGTCCATAGGATGTTGTTCCAGAACTGTGAAGGCTTTTTAGATGTCGTTTGGCAAACTCTAATATGACCTTTCTGTTTTTGATGCTCACCAATGATTTCTATCTTGTGGTGAACCCTCTGTATTCACTCTGGTGAAGTCTTCTCTTGATTGTTGACTTTGACACACATACACCTACCTCCTGGAGAGTGTTCTTGATCTGGCCAACTGTTGTGAAGGGTGTTTTCTTCACCAGGGAAAGAATTCTTCGGTCATCCACCACAGTTGTTTTCCGTGGTCTTCCGGGTCTTTTGGTATTGCTGAGCTCACCGGTGCGTTCCTTCTTTTTAAGAATGCTCCAAACAGTTGTTTTGGCCACGCCTAATGTTTTTGCTATCTCTCTGATGGGTTTGTTTTGTTTTTTCAGCCTAATGATGGCTTGCTTCACTGATAGTGACAGCTCTTTGGATCTCATCTTGAGAGTTGACAGCAACAGATTCCAAATGCAAATAGCACACTTGAAATGAACTCTGGACCTTTTATCTGCTCATTGTAATTGGGATAATGAGGGAATAGCACACACCTGGCCATGGAACAGCTGAGAAGCCAATTGTCCCATTACTTTTGGTCCCTTAACAAGTGGGAGGCACATATGCAAACTGTTGTAATTCCTACACCGTTCACCTGATTTGGATGTAAATACCCTCAAATTAAAGCTGACAGTCTGCAGTTAAAGCACATCTTGTTTGTTTCATTTCAAATCCATTGTGGTGGTGTATAGAGCCAAAAATGTTAGAATTGTGTCCATGTCCCAATATTTATGGACCTGACTGTATATACTCCTAGCATCTTGGTATATCAAGGTTAATTGTATTCACCTGTGACTACAAACTAGTATTTGTATAAAAAGGAACAAAATGTTATGTACAGGGAGAGTGAGCTGTACATATTGGGATTTGTGTATGTGAGTATAAGACTCAGAAGCACGTAAGACATTGTGGGGTTTATTTACTAAAGCTGGAGAGTCCAAAATCAGACTCCCTTCTGCATAGAAACCAATCAGCTTCTAACCTCAGCTTGTTCAATGAAGCTTTGGCAATGAAACCTGGAAGCTGATTGGTTTCTATGCAGAAGGGAGTCTGATTTTGGACTCTCCAGCTTTAGTAAATAAACCCCTGTATGTCTTTAGGGAACTTCTCCCTGTATTTCTGTCACAGGGAGGTGGGGCAATAGCTGCAGATTGAGAACATGTTACATGCTTCACCTTTAAAAACTGGTGGAAAATGTAATATGTTCCTAAAGGTGAAATTATCCTTTAAAGCAGTGTTAAACCCAAACCAAAAATGTAATATTATTACAGCTTACCAATCATTAGATTTGGTGACCGTGTTAGTTTTAATTTTTTAGGATTTTTTCACCTGGTGATCTGGCCAGTAACACATTTCCTGTATTAGAGTGCCCTCCCTCAGGATGAAGGAGCACGGGGGTATAGTTATAGTATTTACATTTAGTCCAGTCCTCATAATCCATACTGCATGGCTTGTTATATCATTTTGCATCTGCATTTTTCTTTTACCATTAGAACCCAGGAGAGGTTGAGAAATGTTTATATGGCAGGGGATCTTTGAAATCTATTGCATGCATAGATATAGTAGTGTGAAATGTGTTTCTTTGCAGAATGCAGTAACAAAAAATCTGCATGATGTCTGAATAATCTGAAAGGATGCATATGTCTCTGTGATGTGTGAAATCTTGTCTGTCTGACCTGTCTTGTGCTTTCTATAATTTACAGGCATGCAGTATGCTGGATATGTCAATAATCAAGCTAACTTTGCACCAACTCCCTTGTCATCCAGCTCAGATGATGAGGAAGACGAGGAGGATGATGAGGAAGCAGGTCTGCTTTAGCTTTTTTACTGTTTCGCACATGACTTTGTGTAACTGCCTAACCGTTAATGCCATCTAATGCTAATGAAGCTCTGTCCAACATACTGCAGTAACTACTACTATTGCTACTGAGTATCTCTTTACCTCTGTAATAGTTTATGCCACATTTATACTTTCCAAGTGTTGCTTGCAATAGCAAACTCATATGTATACTGTATATATATTTTATATCCATGCAATATTCTTATGTGGTTTACAAACACTGTGCAGTACATAAGAGTACAGGGTCTGTGTTACTGGCTTCCCCACTATATTCGGAAAGGAGATAAGTAGCTCTGCACACCTACATGTATCAGTAAAACAGGATCTTTTAGGCCACAGCACAGTAGATGTCAAAGCGTTGGTTTATGTGATTGAAGGGCTAAGTCTGTCAATGCTGATGCAATTGCAAGCACAGGCATACTATAAAGTCAGCTTGACCAGGCTTAGATTGCAAAGTGACTCCAAAGTTACACAACAGTTCAAATGTGACTTATAGGTTGCCAGAAGGGATTGAGGCAGGGGCGGACTGACCATTTGGAAACTCGGGCAGTGCCTGAGGGCCCAGGGTCAGTAGGGGGCCCCATGAGATGTCCCTGGTACCTTTTTCATAGGCTTTTTTGAGTTTGGGCAAGGACACAGGGGCCCCATGATCCCCTATTGCCTGGGGGCCCCATGAGTTGTCAGTCCACCCCTGGATTGAGGAGAGCGCTTTAATGTGGGTTGGTTAATTGAGTTTGCACATTTGTAAAGCTTAAAGTGTTACTAAACCCACAACAGTAAAAATCAGCTTGTATGTGTAGTAAAGCATGCATGTTATACTCACTGTGGAACCTAGGGGAATAATCCTCTGCATTGTGTAAAAAGGCCATTTGATCCTTTCTTCTCTGTTCCTCCCCTTTTTCAAGCAACCACCTCTTATCTCCTGATAAGACAGACTGAACCGTAGGCGTTTGCACATGCTCAGTTTGGTGTGTATTGCTAGAGAGGTTTTTGTTTGTTTTTTTTTTCTTAGGAGAGTGCATGTGATCAGCACAGGGCCAATCAGCACTGGTCAGACAGAGGTCTGGGGTTTTGCATTCTCCAAAAGCAGAACGAAAACTCCTCCTACAAGCTTTAGCTAGTGCTAGGCTGGACACTAATAGAAGCCACAAGACTGCTCTAATTGCTGATGAGAAAAGGTATTTAGCAGTTTATATTTACTAAAATAATTGAATTTCCATGTTCTGTGTACTGTGGGAGACCAGATATAGTGGATGCAGGGTCCTGGGTTTAGTAACACTTTAACAATATTTTCTTTTTATTTTTGAATAGATGAAGAGTTCACATTCCTGTCAGGTTTTATTTCTGTCTGTGTCCCTATTGGGGAGATTTCTCCTCTCTTCCTGGCCCAGTGACATGTGAACAGTAAACGGTGGGGACAGGAATGGTAATTACACTGTCAGAGATTTTAACCTTTACCTTACTAATAATGTGATATAGTTTTGGTATTGGAAGGATTTCTCATTACTTCCTGTCCTGAAGTAATGGACAGGATGGGAAAAAAAGATAATCTTGCTGAATTTGAGTATATCATGCTCAGCATTGTTACTACTGTTCTAGTAGACAGAAAATAAGCTGAATTCAGTTCTTGTAGAGAGAAACGATACGGTATAAATTCCCAGTGAGATGGTCAGAATTTACACATGTTGTGGGGGATCTCTTATTGTCTGTTAGTATGCAGACAGCAGAAGGGAACAGACATGTGATTCCTGAAAACTACCATTTTACATGTTCTTTAGTTAGATGGAAGAGATATTGATTTTCAGCACAAACATGAAAATTTGAAATTTGTTATTTAGCCTGGGTTCACACTGATGCAGTGTGGAATTTGCAGCGCTTTTTGTGCGAATTCCACACCGCAATCAGTCGCACCCAATTCATGCGAACCGCTGCGGGTGTGTATGTTAACTTAACATCCCGAAGTTGGTCCGCAAAATGCAGGGCGATGTGCAGAATCGGATCGCATAGGTGTGAATACCCATGCAATCCGATTCTAGTGCGGACCCGAAAAAGGGTCCTGCACCTTTTTGATGCAGATGCAGTGTGATTTTGAGCCATACATAATGTGTGGCTCAAATTGCACCGCCATCAATTCACATTGATTCACAATTCAGGAATGTGGTGCGGTTCCTGTGCGAATCACATGAGTGTGTACCTAGCCTAAACCTAATTTTGCCTAACCATATACTGTATATTTGTTCTTCGTTAGAGGTATGTTTTCTCTGCTATTTTAGAAAATGCCAGCTAATGTAACCTCAGCCCTTGGCTACAATTTGATTAGTAGAAAAGACCAATGCTGAGAACTAAAGGGCCTATTTCATCGGGCTTTGGGCTTGTGTTTGTGTAGATGGCATCAGTTTGAGTTGTTTCTGAGACTATTCAGAATTTTACTGGAACATTTGGCCTACAGTTTACCTAATGACCTGCATGTAAACTGCTTCAATTGGGTTACCAAAGACTTGTTTGGGAATGCAAAACCATTTTGAAGCATATAAAAGCCCATAGACACAAGGCGAGAACAATTCTCAAGCAGTCTGATTCTAATCTGCCTTGGAGAATGACATTTGCAAACTGAAATTTTGAATGTGGTTGCTATGAGTTGACAGACAGGTCTTCCCTCAAACAGCTGTGTAAGACCTGGTATTTTATTTTTAAAAAGATTACAGCTCTTTCTGTGAAATCAGCTTACTTTTTTTGGTGTATTTTCCTTTATTTGGAAATATTCGATTTTTTGTCTGTGCATGGTGTGAACTGTTAATGGGCAAAGCTTAGCTTCCATCATGCAAAAGATGGTTTGGCACAAATTTTTCAGATCAGCTTAGTGTAAGGCTGCAGATCTCTTCCTCGGTTTTCATGAAGGTAAAACGTACTGCTTCCTATTTGCTTTTTAAATAGGCCAGAGTCACCATTGCTGAGATCTGCTGGTTGCAGGTGTCACATCATTCTTTTTCGTGTGAGAATGTTCTAGTATTCGTAGCTGCAGAAGTGACTTTGTAGGACCTACAGCCAGAAAACCACAATTACATTCCACACACCTCAGTCTTACCCTTTGATCTCAGTGTGGTTTCACTATCAGAGACACACCTGTTAATGGGAGAAATGCGGTACTGTCTCAGTGCCAAGAGTTAGTTCGTATGGTACACTACTAGTATGTCCAGTATTTGTCTTTATTGAGAGAGTCATCACATTCACAGCAGCCCATGGGTCTGAGTCATGTAGGTGTTATGGCATGCTGAAATAGGTCTCTCAAGTGATGCTGTCACATGTAACAGTGTTTGTTTCATCAAAAAAGAGGAAAGAGGTTAGTTAACACTGGAGGTTTTTCACGTGCATATTTAGAAGCTGGTGCTACAGCTAATTTCAGTTGGATCACTTTAACTTTAGGAACGGGAAAAGCTAGTTATGGCACCGTTCAACAGAGCACATTCATAAGCACTGCTGGGCTTAGCATTTTTTTTTTTTTTTTTGCATGTAAGGAAATATTTTTATTAAACAAATGTGACTTGTAGTAAATCGTTTTTCCTCACCAGCAAGTTCAGCCATCTGCCCGATGCCTTTTACATCATAGTTCTCAGTGGCCAAAGTGTGGACCTTGCATGAAAATACAAGGTCTGCTCTTTAGGCAGCCACCCCAAGTTTAAAAAAAAAGTAATATAAAACTGCAAATTGAGAACTACATTCAACTTCTGGCAGGCAAGGGTGATATCACTGAATTTTCTCTCAGGATCCAGAGAAAGCTGAGATTCCAAAATCCTCTGTAAGAATATGCACCTACACAGTGCTGAAACATCATCTCAGAAGATTTGGGATCTTTAGCGTTTTCAGGACCACAGGAGAAGGCCAGTGATGTCACCATCAGTTACAGGAGCGGCCTGGATGCTGGAGTGGAAAATTTATTTCAATGTTTTGTCGTGTTTATTTAATGAAGTTGGGAGGGGACATGCAGATAGTACTGCCTCTTCAAATACCTCAGCTGGAGATCATCACTTCATTTTTTAAAAAATAGAATTCATCACAATGGGTCTTAAGTATTGGGGGGGGGGGGGGTTTGCTCATAGCAATCAGCTTAAAACTCCTTTTTACAGATTATGGTCTAAAAATTAATTGCTGATTGGTTTGGTTTGGAATGATCTCTATTGTACCCTTTGATGCATTTTCCTATGGCTGGCCCCATGTGCAGCGTACATTTTAGAAATACTAACCAGTCAGAATCTTCTTGTATTAAAATATGGCTTACGTCTATGGTAGATTTTGCTTGTTGCAATGTTGGTGTTTGTGTTTTAGGTATTGATGAAAGCTCTTCCACTACTAGCAGTGCATCGTCTGAGCCAAAAAATTATGATGTCCTAGAAGGAGGGGGATGCACAGGTAATTATTTCTATTTATTTACCCTTCTGTCTTTTAGTCGGTTTCATCCTTTGTTCTGGAATATATATTTGTTTATTCTGGAAATATATTTGTTTTGTTTCAATTACAGCTTTGCCTATTTTGCTTAATGTCTTAATTATTAGGAATGCTATGTTTGTATTTGCAGAGATGCCTGCAGCAACAAATAGTACGGCTCCTGTTAATGCCATACAACAGACATCAAGACCCTCAAAACCGTTTGGCTATGGATACCCAGCTCTCCAACCTGGATATCACAATTCAGCAAGCCCACATGGCTCCCAGTCAAATACACCTGTTCACAAGCCAGTTTACTCACAGTATCCTTCTGTAAGTGTTTTAATTTTGTTTCTGCATGTAAGGTTTTTATGGTGGGCATTTTATTTGCCTTTATGACCCCTTCCATATATTAGGCATCAAGGCTATGAAATGCTATTGCTTTCTGTGTGCCCAGAGGGAGATTAAAAAAAAAAAAAAACTTTCCTGGTGACCACTGTCCTTCACTCTTTCCTGGCCAGAGGTCATTGATGCCTGGATGCCCAGGCCATATGTGTTAGAATGTGTCTTTTAACTGGTAACTCTATGGCTGATTTGCTGGTCAATTGCTATGTATTGCGTGTGTGTGTACATTTTGTTACAGCCTTATTCCAAAATGGATTAAATTTAATCCATTAAATCCAAAATGGATTAAATTAATTTTTTTCCTCAACATTCTACAAACAATACCCCATAATGACAACATGAAAGAAGTTCGTTTTGAAATCTTTGCAATTTATTAAAAAAAAAAAAAACGCACATACTTAAGTATTTACAGCCTTTGCTCAATACTTTGTTTGAAGCACCTTTAGCACCAATTACAGCCTCAAGTTGTTTTGAGTATGATGCTACAAGCTTGGCACACCTATTTTTGGGCAATTTCTCTCATTCTTCTTTTGCACTATAGCTCACAGAATTAGCTGTCACTTTCCCCCCAGCTAAAAGAAACCGTTTCCTTTTAGTTTATTTCCAGAGGTAAAGCCGGTAATTGCATTCAAAAACCAGCACTGACATATAGTGCCAGCCAGTGAGGGAGCCTCTGTGTATACACTGCTCCCTCACTGTATACGCTGCTCCTCTCCTGGCCCCTTCTTCCCTTCCCCTCTACAAAGAGGACTTGTCACTCATATGCTATCACATAGGGGACTATTGGTCCCCTATGTGATAGCAATAAAATCATAATTAAAAAAAAAAAAAAAAAAATATATATATATATATATATATATATATATATATATATATATATATATATATATATACACACACAGTGGTGCAAAAAAGTATTTAGTCAGCCACCAATTGTGCAAGTTCTCCCACTTAAAAAGATGAGAGGCCTGTAATTGGCATCATAGATAGACCTCAACTATGAGAGACAAAATGAGAAAAAAAATCCAGACAATCACATTGGCTGATTTGGAAAGAATTTATTTGCAAATTATGGTGGAAAATAAGTATTTGGTCAATATCAAAAGTTCATCTCAATACTTTGTTATATATCCTTTGTTGGCAATGACAGAGGTCAAACGTTTCCTGTAAGTCTTCACAAGGTTGGCACACACTGTTGCTGGTATGTTGGCCCATTCCTCCATGCAGATCTCCTCTAGAGCAGTGATGTTTTGGGGCTGTCGCTGGGCAACATGGACTTTCAACTCCCTCCAAAGGTTATCTATGGGGTTGAGATCTGGAGACTGGCTAGGCCACTCCAGGACCTTGAAATGCTTCTTACGAAGCCACTCCTTCGTTGCCCGGGCGGTATGTTTGGGATCATTGTCATGTTTGAAGACCCAGCCACGTTTCATCTTCAATGCCCTTGCTGATGGAAGGAGGTTTGCACTCAAAATCTCACGATACATGGCCCCATTCATTCTGTCCTGTACATGGATCAGTCGTCCTGGTCCCTTTGCGGAGAAACAGCCCCAAAGCATGTTGTTGCCACCCCCATGCTTCACAGTAGGTATGGTGTTCTTTGGATGCAACTCAGCATTCTCTCTCCTCCAAACACGACGAGTTGTGTTTCTACCAAACAGTTCTGTTTTTGTTTCATCTGACCATATGACATTCTCCCAATCCTCTTCTGGATCATCCAAATGCTCTCTAGCAAACTTCAGAAGGGCCCGGACATGTACTGGCTTAAGCAGGGGGACACGTCCTGCACTGCAGGATCTGAGTCCCTGGCGGCGTAGTGTGTTACTGATGGTAGCCTTTGTTACATTGGTCCCAGCTCTCTGCAGGTCATTCACTAGGTCCCCCCGTGTGGTCCTGGGATTTTTGCTCACTGTTCTTGTGATCATTTTGACCCCACAGGGTGAGATCTTGCATGGAGCCCCAGATCGAGGGAGATTATCAGTGCTCTTGTATGTCTTCCATTTTCTAATTATTGCTCCCACAGTTGATTTGTTCACACCAAGCTGCTTACCTATTGCAGATTCAGTCTTCCCAGCCTGGTGCAGGTCTACAATTTTGTTTCTGGTGTCCATCGATAGCTCTTTGGTCTTCACCATAGTGGAGTTTGGAGTGTGACTGTTTGAGGTTGTGGACAGGTGTCTTTTATACTGATAACAAGTTCAAACAGGTGCCATTGATACAGGTAATGAGTGCAGGACAGAGGAGCCTCTTAAAGAAGAAGGTACAGGTCTGTGAGAGCCAAAAATCTTGCTTGCTTGTTTGTAGGTGACCAAATACTTATTTTCCACCATAATTTGCAAATAAATTCTTTCCAAATCAGCCAATGTGATTGTCTGGATTTTTTTTTCTCATTTTGTCTCTCATAGTTGAGGTCTACCTATGATGCCAGTTACAGCCCTCTCTCATCTTTTTAAGTGGGAGAACGTGCACAATTGGTGGCTGACTAAATACTTTTTTGCCCCACTGTAGATGTGTGTGTGTGTATGTGTATATATATATATATATATATATATATATATATGTATATATGTGTATATATATATATGTGTGTGTGTGTATATATATATGTGTGTGTGTGTGTGTGTGTATATATATATATATATATATATATATATATATATATATATATATATATATATATATATATATAAGAGAGGGAAGAAGAGATTCAGCGCTGAGCCCAGCTGCATCTCCTCTCTCTTCCGCCTCACACAAGGGACTTGAACAGCAGCAGGAGACATTGACTCTTGCTGCTATCAATCAAATGTGGTGAAGAGGAAGTGGGGGGGGGGGGGGGCAGGGGCTACGTCCTGCTGTCTGTGTTTGTTTGCTATGGAGTCACACAAAGAAGAGGAGTAGCCAGGATCACGGCCGGGGGACCTGATTGGAGGAGGAACATGGCTGCTCTGTGCAGTACATGTGTGATCACGTTATCTGAAACCAATTTCATTGGTTCCCAATCCTCAGTGGGGACCCCAGCTAGGGTTTGAGTGGTTAGCACTGTTAGCAGGAATTGAGAGTCAGCAGCCATGCAAAGTTTTGGCTGCTGATTATTGTAGGAGAGGACCTTTTAATAATTTTTTTTTTGGCAAGGTGCTGGGCAAAGTTGATTTACAGATTGTTGGTAGGAAGGAGTTAAAGTAGGATGATAGGGGAAGAGCAGTAAAAACATTGATCGCAGTTCCAACTTCACATTCTGTATTGGACCATAACCAGAGGTCAATCTCCACAAGAGGAACACATTAAAACCTGGGAAGCTCTTGAAAGGGTGAGGTGTGATTTGAACATTTTGCTAAAAATTGTTGCAGTGCATTTGACCTTTCAGAAATTTTCTTACTCAGTAAGGGTGCACTCACACTGGACATGGTTAAACTGAACTGTGCTGGAATTCAGTTGTCTCCACTCCCCTGCTGGTCTGCACTAACAGTAGAAATACACAGTAAGTGCTCCTGGGCCCACTTAATCACCTCCTGCCATCCAGACTACAGCAATCCCTGCTTCTGTGCTCAGTAGTCTATGGAGAGTCCTCTGCTCAAGCACAATTTGTGCTCACACTGAAACAAACCGTTTCAGATCACAAGTGAATTATGCTCGGGAACCACCTCTTGTAAGTGGTCCCACACACCTTACACCAGGCCTTGAAATTTCCGCTCGCCTGCTCACCAATGGCAAGTGTAAATTATGATGGGGGTGAGTGTGTCCCCCAGGGCTGTCTTGCTGAGCAGGCTCGGAGCTCAGGCCGGATCTGTCATTGGCACTGGGAGCCGTCAGAGTGCTCAATAGCTGTGTGTGTGTGTGTTTTGTGTGTATATATACGTATTTGTGTCTGTATGTACATGTGTCTGTGCGTGTGTATTTCTGTGTATGTACATGTATCTGTGTGTATGCGTGTCTGTACGTGCCTGTCCATGTACATGTCCTGTACATGTGTCTGTGTGTATGTGTGTGTTTACATGTGTCTCTGTGTGTGTGTGTGTGTGTGTGTATGTACATGTCTGTGTGTGTGTGTACAGGTTTCTCTGTTTGTGTGTGTTGGTGGCAAGTAAATCTTAAGGCCTGGCTGGTAGCTCAGGACATGAAATTTTAAGCCCTGCCTTACACTTAACCATTTGGAGCACTCACACAACACAAACCGAGCCAAGGGTGTGAACTCTGCTTGGGCCTGGTCAAAATGGCCAGTGAGCACACTCTTAAGAAAAGCACAAACCGCAAATTATTCTGGGTGCCTGCTAAGAGATTAGTTCATTTGCATATCAGTGGCTCTCCCAGCTCCTGAAAGCAAGGAGCAAAAATGATTAATATGTTCTAGATTTAAACAGTTTGTCCACTAGATGTTATAGAATAGTATTTGTTAAAGCGATTAACCTTTTCTTTAAATAACACATTGGCTTTCATTATGGATCTCCTCCTGAAAAGCTAGTTGCCTTTCTTTCTCCACATACTTTACAAACAAAACAGTTGCTGTAACTGCTTAAAGAGTGTTAGCTGGAGTTTGGCTTTAATTTGTTAATGTATCTAAATGTGCTAGTACGTCTTACAATCCTCACCCCAGACTGACAGTGCTGCTGACCAAAGGGGTCACTGTTGCTCTTTCATCCAGAGTGTAGGCACCCTAATACAGGAGGTGTGTTACTGGTCAGATCGCCAGGTGAAGAAAAAAAAAAAAGAAACCAACGCAGCCAACACATTTGATGATTGGTAAGCTGTGATAAATTTTTTAGTTTTGGGTTTAATACCACATTAAGTTGTTAATGTCTACATTGCTACCAATCCCTGTGTGCTGGCTTGTTGATGTTGTGTCTTGGTAGATGACTTTAACCACTTGAGCTCCAGAAGATTTTTACTCACTTCATGATCAGGCCATTTTTTGCTATACCGCACTCCACTACTTTAACCAGTAATTGTTTGGACACGCAGCGCTGCTTTCTTTTGGTGGTATTGATCACCACTATTTTTATTTTTCTGCTATATATAAATGAAAAAAGACCAAAGATTTTTTTACTTCTATAGAATGTATCCAATGAAAAAAAATCTGATTTCTTTATACATTTTGGCCAAAATGTATTCTGCTACATGTCTTTGATAAAAAAAAATCCATGTAAGTATATATTGGTTTGTTTGCGTGAAAGTTATAGTGCCTACAAACTATGGTGTGTATATATACCTAAATTTTATTTTATTTTTTTTTTTATGCTACTAATGGCAGTGATCAGCGATCTATAAAGGGACTGCGATAGTGCGGAGGGAAATCTGACACTAAATGCCGCTAAGGGGAGCTGATTAACTGCTACTGACATCACCAGTGACATTAATACAGTGATAAGCGATATCATACACTGCTAGTGTACTGCTCTGGATGGGGTGATCCAGGGGTTAAATGTGTGCCTAGCTATGTGCAAAGTGTGCTGCTTTTACAAATTGATCTCTAAGTTTTTCATCCCTGCAAAGCAGGGATGAGAAACACAGAGATCGTTCCCTCTGTATAGAGCTCTGTGTTGACTGTCAACACAGAGCTCTGGTCTGTAATTGTACACAGCTGATCAGCAGGTCCTGGCTGTGAATCATTGGTAAGGACTTGCTGACAGGCTATCGCTGTGTACAGTCAAAGCATTTGCCTACAGCGGTCGCAAATCCACAGTACATTGTGGGCGGGCAGTTGTTAAGTTGTTAAGAAACAATAATTACGAACCTTTGCTGATTTAGAAAATACAGCCAATTAAAAAAAATGTGGAATATGGCTAGTCATTGAATATTGTACAGTTGTTTTGTTGTTTTTAATGTGAATATTGAAGGCTTGGAAGCACTATAGCATCATAAGAACCCAGGGAACATACACACAATGCAGTTTATTGTGAATTGGGTCACTAAACCATGGGCCTGTCACATTACTGTCTGAGAGGCATATCATGTGTTTTCCTGTTATGGCTAATGAGGATAATCCAGGCTCAGCTATGAATCTTCTTATATGGTAGGCGGAGTGTTTTCAGTGTATACCAGAACTTAAGGATCTGTATGGATTTTGGGGGGACCTCAGGCCTTTTGTTTTGTTTTTTTGGTATAGATTGGGGCGATTTTTTTTTTTTTTTTTTTTTTTTTCCTCAATTTTGTTAAGGATGTGGCTATACACTGGTTATTAAGGACACTGGCAGCCATTGGCTAAGAAAATAAAACACTGGAAGCTGGTCTTTAGCAGTGGTTCAGAGTGTTTAAGATCTTCTAGGAGCTGTCAGCATTTTTTTGTTTTTTGCTGGCTTTCTCCCGAAAACACATAAAGCGTTTGGTTTTTTATTATTATTATTATTATACAGTATTTATATAGCGCCAAAAAGTTTGCTCAGCGCTGTACAGAGTAGTGGGGGACAGTACATGAGACAATACAGTAACAAAACAGTACACAAGGGGTTCGAGGGCCCTGCTCTTTCGAGCTTACAGTCTAGGAGGGAGGGGATAGTGGCACAGGAGGAAGTGGCTGTGGGGGATGGAGTGGTAGGAGGAGTGGAAGAGATCGGTTGTTAGGTGAGAGTGGGGTAGGCTTCCCTGAAGAGATCGGTTTTCAGGGTGCGCCTGAAGGTGAGAAGGGTAGGTGACAGTCTGATGGATTGGGGTAGTGAGTTCCAGAGGATGGGGGAAGTCCTAGAGGTTCTTTTTTTGTTTTTGTTTTTTTTTTTGTTTTTTGCTCCTAGAAGCTAAAGCTTGAAAAATGCTTCAATCATAAAATAGTGTGCACACACACATAGGATAATATTAGCTTCTAGGAGCAGAAAAATTGCTCACTAGTTTCAAGAAAACACTAGTGTTCATGGAGCCTAATTATTGTTATTATTATACAGGAGTTATATGGTCTGACTTTATTTTGTAAAGCACTGTGCACACTATTGTCAACAATATAATACAATTCAATACAGGAGAAATCAGAGGGTTCTGCTTACATTCTAAGAGATAATGAAAATACTCAGAATCCCTCGCCACAAGCAGGCCTTTGGGGTTATAAACATTTTCTGATGTACATTAGTGGGGAGTACAGTGTGTTTGAATAGCTTTTGTGTAGGCAGTGAGGGCATTTTTTTTTTTCACCATTGTCCTGGAGTTTCTGTGTTCTCTTGCATGGGTTTCCAAAACACAGAAGCAGAGTAGTGATAGTATGCCATCTGGCTTCTGAGAAAATTAGCCCTTGAGTGTAGAATGTTGCACTTCAATGGTAAGGACTGATGAACATTTCAGTGTCCTCTGTAAGGCGCTGTAGGATATGTTGGCTGTAAATAAATTAGCTAAATTTTTGACCTTAATGTATCTTTGTTGGTAAGAGTTCATTTCCATTTAGGGATTAGGGAAGGGGGCCCTGACCAGGCCATTTTTTGCGATACGGCGCTGTGTTACTTTAGCTGACAATTGCGCAGTCATGCAATGCTGTACATAAATGAAATTTATGTCATTTTTTTCCCATAAATAGAGCTTTTTTTGCTGGTATTTGATCACCTCTGCGGTTTTTTATTTTTTGTGCTATAAACAAAAAAAAAATTTTTTTTTACTTTTTGCTATAAAACATATCCAATAAAAACTAAATAACTGCCACTGACATCCTCAGTGACACTAATACAGTGATCAGTGCTAATAAAATGCACTGACACTGTACTAATGACACTGGGCAGGAAGGGGTTAACATCTGGGGTGATCAAAGGGTTAACAGTGTGCTGTGTGTGTTTTACTATGTGCACTGTGTTGTATTTTACTTTGGAGATGGGCTCTTTTTTTTTATATCTCTGCTGTGCAGAGAGATACAAAGTAGCATGTCCATGCTGACAGGAGAGAGACCTGTGTTGTGTGCACATAGGTCTCTGCCCTGCCACCTTTGCCAATGATCGCTGAGTGCCAGGTGGGAATTGCCGTCCAGGATACTGTGATTGACATCCCTAGCCGTCAATAGCGGCACAGGTAGGGCGGCGTGTGTGTGCCCCCTACCCGGAAATGCAAATCACGCTTATATATGTGATTTTTGTACAGCCGTGCCGCCCTGTAGCCTTACTTCTGGAGGGCAAGTGGTTATAAAAGGTTATCATTTGCTCTTGTGCAGTATTAAAAAAAAATATGCAAAGTTGCATGTAAACATTTTCCATATGTATGTAACCACACAATTTTAGAATTTGATATCTTCTCCAGACGTGCAAATACATGCATGCATACACACGTTAGTTAATTTTCTTTTACACAGAATCAGCCTTAGTAGATGAAACACAAGCTGAATAGGAAAAGCATTCATGTTTCATTCTAAATGTCCCTGGTGCGGACTGAATCCTGGACCTTAGCATATCAAGACCACTACTTGTAAATGCTCAACATTTTTTAAATTAAAATAACAAACATGTCGTACTTACCTGCGATGTGCAGTGGTTTTGCAAAGAGCAGCACTGGTCCTCCCCTTCTCAGGTTGTCTGCTCTCCTGGCTCCTCCCCCCACCAAATACCCACATAGCAAGTCACTCCCAAACCCAGGTCTTTGTGTCCATTGACACAGGGAGTGCGGCTCAGCTCTGCCCCCTCTCCCTCCTCTCTGTGGTTGACAGCCATTGGCCCCTGCTGCTGTCTCTGAGCCAATAAGGAGGGAGAGATCCGCTGCTGTTGTGCATATTGCTGGATGAAGATTGGGCTCAGTTAGGTATAAGGGAGGGCTGGAGGGGGGAGGGGATGAGGTGCACGCAGAATGTTTTTTAGCTTATTGCAGAGAATGCATTAAGGTAAAAAAACTTTCTGCCTTTAGAACCACTTTAAGGCTTAACTCAAGCCTAATTTTAGATAGAGTGGTAGAGTTTACAGTCTATACAGGTTTTTATTTCTGCCTGTGGCCTCATTGAGAAGACTTTTCTTTGCTTTTTGTGCCTGAAAAACCTATAAACAAGAGGTGTTACCACTCTACTAAAGTTGTGTTGTCTTTTGTGTCCATATTGTTGAGAGATATCATCACTTCCTGTCATGACAATACACCTAAAAGACCATATTGTTCATTAGACACAAATGGCAAGAAAATGGAGTTGTGCTTTTAGCTTTATCACTGTTACCGTTTACTGGGATTGCTTCTGATTTTGCAGCCTCAGTTGTAGGTTATTAACGTCTACTTTCCTTTTTTTTTCCTTCTAGCACTATGGTGGGATTAATCAATTGCCAGCTTCCCTATCGGGGTTAAGTCTACAACAGGCTCCACAGCCAGAAGGCCTGAGACCTATAAATCTTACTCAAGATAGAAATGTTCTTCCTTTGTCGTCTTTGCCAGCTCCAGCACCAAACCTGAACACAGATCTGAGAAAATTAAATTGCAACCCAGAGTGAGTATTGCAAGTGAAATAGAAGCTCCACAGTCATGTAAATACTCTGTAGTACTGGCCTTAGGTCTCCAAGGTGTATCCCCGGGGACTGGCAAACATGCACAATTAATTTGCAGGTATAATTAGCAGTTTTGGTCTCTTGTAATAACCTGCCCATAAAAGACATACTGGAAGTATGTATATAGGTGTTTTTCCAACTAGTATGTGTGATGCTTGTTTGAGATTAAAGTATAAAAAAGTGAAATTGAACTGTATGATGAAGCTAAACTAACTTGGCCTTTGGAGTTTATAGCACATTATTATTATTATACAGGATTTCTATAGCGTCAACAGTTTGCTCAGCAATTTACAATATAACGGGAGACAATACAGCAACAATACAGTTCAATACAAGAGGGTTAGGAGGGCCCTGCTCCATAGAGCTTACAATCTAAGAGTAGCACATGGGATAACAAAGATGCATCTGAGTCTTTGTTATCCCCGTGCTATGTATACCGAAGGATAGGTAGTGACAGTCTTTTTAACCCTTTGTCTACCAAGATAAGTTTATGAATGTCCTGATATTCCAGAGGCTAACCACTTGAACTCTTAAAGATTTTACCCCCTTCATGACCAGGCTTTTTGATAAAACCGTACTGCACTACTTTAACTGGTAATTCCGCAGTCATTCAATGATGTACCCAAATAAAATGTATATAATTTTTCACACAAATAGAGCTTTCTTTTGGTAGTACGACCTATACCTGGAAGTAGGCAGCAACATCGTTTTAAGGAAGCTCATGGCTGTTGCAGTCCTAAGCTTAGTATCAATTTTTAGAGACTGCAAAGGGCATTCTATTTAAAATGATCTCTCTTTTATGGGGCTCTGAAGATTAGTCCCCTTGTGATGACAAAGTTAAATGAGGAAAAAAAAATATAAAGTGTCAAACTGCAATAGAGTAAAATAATGAAAAAAATAAAAGCACCCTCATACACACCAATATGCAAACGTATAGCGTAGGACAAACAAGTGTATGGAGACGCATATTTTGTGCTGTACAAATGAGATATTGCCACAAATGTAGGAATGAGACCAATAATTCAAGGGCCATTCTCATGCCATCACAGTTAACTCTAAACCCGTAAAGCTTTTAAAGCATCGCTTATGGAGAATTTTGGGTATCATGGATTTTCACAATTTCACAAGTGTATACAATTTTAGGACTAAAGCAGGCCATAGGCAAGTCAAAAACCGAACGAAAATTCTTGGTCGTTCGTTTTCCCCAATATTGGTGTGCCAGCTGCAACATCAGTTTTCATGTCGCCATAGAAAGTGCCTGATCCAATATGCTGAATTTTTTTTAGAAAAACAAAACAAATGATGGCACTATCATATGCGCCATTTTCATTTTTCAATCAACAGAACATTCCTTAACCACTTCAAGACCGGACACTTTTACCCCCTTCCTGACCAGGGCAATTTTCAGCTTTCAGCACTATCACGCTTTGAATGACAATTACGCAATCATGCAACGCTGTACCCAAATGAATTTTTTTACACCATTTTGTTGAAACAGATAAGGCTCTTTATTTTGTGTGTATTTATTCACCGCTGGGATTTTTATTTTTTTTGCTATTGTAAATGAGCTTGTCAAATGAAAAAAAGTGCTTTGTGAATAGTTTTTTTAATAAAATTTGAAATCTGTAATATTTCATCATAAATCTTTGCCAAAACTTATTCCGTTATCTTTTTAGTAAAAAAAAAAAATGATGTCAAATTAGTTTATAACAAAAATTATAATTTTTAAACATTTTTTTTTACATTTTTATTTTATTTTTTTATATTATTATTATTTATTTATTGATTTTTTTACATACTGTCACCCTAGCAGTACAGTGTCACCATGGTGACACTGTACTACTTGTGGGGGGTGATGAAGATTTTTTTTTTTTTTTTTTTTACACATTGCTTTTACCCCATATAGGATGTAAAAGCAATCATTTCTCTTTCTCTCTGTGTGCATTCATGCACTCATTGAGAAGTACTGACTGAGCTGTGATTGGTCACAGCTTGTCACATGGTACAAGCCTGTTGTGAATAGGCTTGTACCATGTGACCTCTGTGATCATTCACAGATTTCACACGTAGTAAGCAATGATGTCACAAGTGACATCTTGCTGACTACTTTGCATGTGATCACTGATTGGCCAATCAGTGATCACATGATCCCTCGTACAGAGGTCCCGCCTGACGATCGGTGTTTCACTGTGTCCGGAGGACACGGGGGCACCGGATCGCGGTGCTGCGCACTCCCAGGGAGCGCGCACAAGCAGGGGGCGGGGAGGCCGTTTATGAACGGCCACCCGACCCTGCACTGCCACCGTCCGGCCGTTTATATACAACGGCCGGACGGGAGGTGGTTAATGTGTTTGCTATCTATTTACTCAATACAACCCAATATTTTCGATTTTGTCAAAAAATTGAGTATAATCTTGTGATTGTTTATACTAAAATTAATTTGTGTATTTTTTCCCCTAAAAAAATGCATTTGATAAATAGCTGCCCAAATACCGTGCAACATAAAATTTTGCAACTATTTTATTCTCCAAGGTCTCTGCTTTCAGAACATAAATATTTTTTTGGGAGTTTAACTAGTTCCCAACCGCTCTATAGCTGAAGGACGGTAATCCTGGGACGACGTCCATGGACGTCATTCCAGAACACGCCCCCTCCCCCGGTTTGTCAAAAGTAACTACTATTTGCATTGCTGATTGTATAAAATGAAAGTGCATGCTCTGACCATAGAACCCCTTTAAACGTCCAGACATAAGCATTTCTTCCTTCCATATTTCAGTTTTATAGGTGCCAAAGGTTCACCACCAGTGCAGAAAACATATCTACATATGGTAATCTTTGGGTTGAGGTTGAGTTTTGCTTTCTTGGAATTAGTACTTAATTCAGGTCAGTTTACTTACTATAAATGCAAGGTTTAAAGTTTGAGACTGGCAAGTCAGACATCTGTGTGGACATTTTATATAACTAGCCTATGATACTAGTGATGTTGTTACTGATGGGCACTCATCAGCAATGCTAAAGGGGGATAGTGATCTGTTCTTTCTCAATGTGGAAACAGGTCAGTAGGATTCTTTGCCCACTCTAGGCCTAACACTGTCCTCTCAATTTCCTTTAAATTTTGTAAAACGTTTGATGGCACTGCTTTATTTAAAGCAGATTTTCACCCCACCATTATTTTTTAAACCCCTGCTTACAGTTCAACACATTTCAGATACTCATCCACCCAGCAGATCCAGCACATAAAAGTCACAAAAATAAAACCTGTAATGTTTGTCATCTGTATAAATGTAAAACGTCAACTTCTACTTGTTGATTTTCGCAGGTCGAATGTAAAACTTCTTAATATTCGATTCTAAGAGTGCTGTTTGTCTTGTTGGAGCTTGATATACATGTGTTTAGCACAAATGGGGCAGAAACAAATGATTTAGGCTATTTTTCTTTTCAACTTCCTTTTATTTTTAAATTAAGAGCGTGAGTCAGGAAAATACAGCATTATGTCAAGTAGATAGAGCTGATGACTAGGGTGGAACTAATGGCAAAACCTGTTTTTTTTCACTTAGGATTAAATAAGGGAGGGTTATAACCTCTGTAATGTATATTTTGTAAGATCGTAGTCAAGCTCAAAGGCCGTTGATCGCTCAGTTCTTCGGTCCGCTCACTGAAACGCTAGACTGTGAAGGGGGTAGGAGCCAGCTGTCGATCAGGCATCTGGGCGAATCCCAGCATTGTCAGGATTTTTGCTGCCAGTTGAATATGGGTCATGGAAGAATTTTGTCCATAGATTTTAAGTGTAGTGAATCAGATATCGCTAATGCACTTGGGTGTTTTTTTTGTGCAAACCATGCGTTTTGGTGCGGTCTGATTTAAAAAAAAAAAAGGGGGAGGAGGGGGGCTTGCACTGAATAGGCAGCCCTAAGTGGGACATGTGAAACTAGCAAAGACACAAGCCTACACAGAGCCTCATGCAGGCCATAGACGGGGAGAAAACCGGCCGAAAATTCGTCCAAAAAAATAATCGGCCGATTTTCGGATCGTTAGTGGCTGATTGGTCGGCCGGTTTTCTTGATTTTGACACATTTTTTTAATCGTTCATGTTGGGCAAATCGGACGATCTTTTTCCCGATTAAAAAAAATGCGCATGAGCCGTGACCAAAGAAAAAGAAGAACATCTGCATCTATTTGTATCCATACAAATAGATACAATGTTTGCAACCGCAATACTTAGAAATGTCAAATCTATTAGCGGTGTCCTTGCAGAGAGCTCCGCTATGATATTTGACATTTAAAAGTATAAGGGTTGCAACATTGTATCTATTTGTATCCGAATAGAAGAACCATCTGTATCTGAAATGGATACAAATAGATACAATGTTGCAACTTTTTCTTATTATTATTATTCATATTCTATTTGTTCTTCTTTTAAATGTCAAATATAGCGGAGCTCTCTGCAGGGACACCGCTATTATATTAATTTCCGGCCGTAGACGGGACGAGAATCAGCCGACTTTTTTTTACCAATGGGGGTAACGTCGGCTGATTGAACGATCGATTTTCCGTTTTTCTAAAAAAAAAAAAAAAAAAACGGTCGGTTTTCTCCCCATCTATGGCCTGCATTACAAATCATCTGAGCTCCAACACTGTGCAGCAATTCTCTGTCTGCAGTAGCTGATTTATTACTATCACACAGGAAACTATACACTTAGTTTACTCTTTCAGCTCTAAGAACATTTGGTCAAAGCCTATTTTCCATTAGGAGTGAATTGTAGGGAATATTACATTCACCCTGTGAAAGGCAACAAATCGAAAATGACATTTCACACATATTACAGGGATTTATTTGCAACTTTTACATGAATGCGAAAACATTTGCATTTTTTTTCCCCTAAATAAATAGACCCCTTTTGTATATATTTGTGCTTTCCTCTACTTATAATGTTTGTATTGTTTGACATCTAAGATTCATTGTACATTTCAGATTCTTCAGGTGCACTCTTACAAATGTTCCACAAACCCAAGCTCTTTTGAATAAAGCAAAGCTTCCCTTAGGATTATTACTTCATCCTTTTAAAAGTAAACCTGTAAGTATGTGTTAAGCATCTTGATGAATCCTGTAATGTCTTTCTTTCTAAATGACAACTACACTAAATAGCAGCCCAGGAAAAAAAGCACTGCTGTGTCTCTTGTTCCTTTATTTCCATAATTTAGCGTATCCCAACAATATCGTCAAGTACCATTGTAAGATGTCGGTCCTGCAGAACATATATCAATCCATTTGTGTCTTTTATTGACCAGAGGAGGTGGAAGTGTAATCTTTGTTACCGAGTTAATGATGGTATGTATCAACACATGCAAGTATGTTTCAGGATTTCTTTTTTATTATGCACCGGCATGGAATTAGCTTTCCTAAGTTAAAATTATGTAAACCCCAACAATGAGCATTTTTATATGCTCCCTTTTGGTCTGTTAAATTTAACTGTGAAATCATTATATTATATCCTTTTGATAAATGCAAAAAAGAACTGTTGATCCTGACAGAAATCTTGTGAGCTGATAACTTGCAGTGCTGCTTCCCTGTGCTGTTATCATTTAGCATTGTTACCAGCTCACTCTTGACTACAGAACACTTTTTCCTTTATATTACATACAAGGGTGAGTTATTCTATAGTCCTCTGTTAGGGTGCTGTTCCTCCAAAGCTACAGTGAGTGCTGTCACTCTAATGGTCCCCATACACTAGATGAAAAATCGTTCCAAAATCTTTCATTTGGACCTATTGTTAGTTTTTCGTCTAGTTAATGGGCACAAATAGAAAATCAGTTTTGAATTTTCAGAGCCACAAAATCGAAGGAACGGGTTGGAAAACTTCTGGTCAAACAATAAATTGAAAGGTCAATGTGTTTCTTGCCCATAATACAGGAGGTGGAGATGTTCGCAGGATCATCAGCTGAAAATAAAGGAAAAGATTCTTAGAAAAAAAACTTGTATTTAGACATGAATGTTGAACTTTCATGGACACCAAAAAAATTGTCATTTTTTAAATAAAATTATAAAACATGATATTGTTAATTTATTAACAATTCAATAATCTTTCCTAAAAGCTTGTTCGATATCTAAAATTATTAATTTGTCTTCAATAGGTCACTTTGCAGTAAAAGCAAAGAAGCATGAAAACCTCTGTAGTGTATTAATGTGCTTTACTAAACACAAATGCTGTACTGACAAACTATTTACAATTGTAGAAAAACTATACAAAACATATACTGAGAAGCAAGGAGAGACTCATGTGCTGCCAAGATACCCTTAAAGAGAAAAACTGCTGCCTACACCAAAATGTGTTCCCACATCAAAGTGACAAAGAAAAAATTGTGTGTATTGTGTGCACTCCTAAATTGTGTGTATTGTGTGCACTGCTAATAAGTGCATGAATATCAAAAGTCAATGAAAGAAAGTATATAATTTGTCAGAGTTAAGCAAAAAAAGATGTATCGGCAAACACCCATCTGACCATCAAACCTGTGTGTCAGTAAGTCCTCTTTAAACTCAAAGATATATATTATAATATAGTGCACCAAGTTACAACTGCATAGAACACACTAAATAAATACCTGGCTGACCATCAAACCCATAATGGGCGAATAATGCAAAATCAATTAAAATAAATGAAATAATATAAGTGGTACTTGTTTGTTCAAAAGAAATGCCCCCCTAAGTCCCCAAACTACATGCATAAATAATACAATAAACACCCAGCTGACAAACACATTCAGGATGAAAAAAAAAGCAGCGCAAAACATAAGTAGATGGTACAAAAATGAAAAATATTAGTCCATAAAGTAAATGATGAGCAATTTTCAGTCCTCAAGTGAAATGACTCTTTAAAACAATCTTTCCACCGCGGTGCTCATCCACCTCCAGGTGTGCCTGCTCACCTCCTTTTTTTTTTTTTACCTATATGTTATACAGATCAAAAACAGCATTGTGTATGATATCCACTGTCACTCCAACTCTTCCTGCAGCGTCCGATAGAAACTCCAAAAAATGGGTAACCTCCAGAAGATCAACTCAACCGTTTGTGCCAAAGTTGCTCATAGGATAAAAAGCAGATAACTTCCCATAGTGCAAAATTGTTTTAAATCTACTAAAATAAAAATTTATATCACACTCACAAGGATTGTGGGCTCACAACTCCCAGATACAGCATGTAACATGTAATGAAGGGTAAAATGGCGGCTTCCATCGGCGCATCAGAAATGACGCCCCCACACTTCCATACATAACATTTTATGATGATTTATATTACTGTCAGTGGAGTTAGGATATTTCTTTATGCATTTCATAGGTGACAGATTCCCTGCTTCGTCAGGACAACACCAAGAGGGCTAAGTTATATCTATGAGCAAGCAAGGCAAGGATATCACAAGTAGAGATGAGCTGAGACTGAGTAGGGATGAGCTTTGAGGAAATATGTTTAGGTTTACCTTATGGCATAATAAGCAGCGATTATTGGTCTCTGTATTTCATGTTAGAGTCAAATTGTTTCATTTGGGTATATTTATTAAAACAATCTCACCCAGAGCCAGTGCCCATATGAGATCATAGCAATCTCTAAAAAACATTTATAGATTATTGGATTGTTAGTAAATTTTACAATGACGTGTTTTAATTGTTTTAAATGTGACAATTTTGCAGTGTTTTTTTTTGTGTTTTTGGTTACACGAAAGCCCAACATTTTGCATGTCTAATTATTAGATATTAATACGAATGTGGCTCTATGGCCCATTATGTACTCCTGTTAAAATAAAAATGCAGCCAATGAATCTTGTAGTGGTCAGTTGCAATATATATTCAATTTTTTTTCTTGGGCTTGGATATGCTTAAAAAAAAACATAATTTGTTCATAAGTTTCCTGTTAGAAGTTTTCACCTCTGCTTTAGTTACTGCTACTGCTTGTCATGTGATTTTCATGATTATTCTCTTTAGTGCCAGAAGAGTTCATGTACAATCCAGTGACTCGAAGCTATGGAGAGCCACACAAACAAACCGAGATTTTGAGTTCTTCTGTGGAGTTCATTGCTTCTTCTGATTATATGGTAAAGTACAAGCTTTGTTAAGCACTGTCAATCTGTATATGCAATAACAAACAGAACATTGGTCTATATTATGAATTAACTTCATTTTATGTATTAGAATTATTGGGCTACCGCTACACCTGACCTTGTCTTAGTTAGGAACATAATATTGTATTACCACTACACAGTTCTGTGCTTTTAAAGGCAATCTGCAATATATTACAATTCATTTATTAATGTTCCTCTGCATGATCCTGATCTGCAGGCTAAAATCCCAGTTACGTCTACTAAATGGGGCTTCAGACAGCTTCTGGATATCTTCAGTTTTCTATGTCAGCCCCACATAGTGTTTATGAAGAATTCTCCTATTTAGAAAGACAAATGCTGGTATGAGAGCATGTATTAAAAACTGCAAAAGCTGAAGTGTATGTAAAGGCTGAAAATGTTTTCTAGTTTTTAATAGCGTGGGTAAGGATTATGACCTCTGTTGTATTGTTACTTACATCAGGGACAGAGATTTCCCCTCACTTCCTATCTTGCTTACAGCTGTTTCACTAGACGGGAAGAGAGGAAAAATATGTAAAAGAGACAGATGTAAATAAGAACTTGATAAGAGTTATAGCCTACTCCTACTCTAATAATGAGAAAAATATTTTTTTTTCTGTTTGTGTTGCTGTTTGCAGATTTCCCTTCTGTTCTGATCAGCAGGACAGGAAATGAGGGAAATCTCTCTAATGTAGCATCAGATAGCATAAAAACCTGATGGGTTCTAAGCCTTCCCCACTGTCTAAGCAAAAATGTTTTGGCTGGATTTACACTTCAAGGTATGCTGGGCTGTAACAGGATGGGAAAAAAGCAACACATTGGTAAAAAAGCAACAAACCCCAACAGAGGTTCTGTTCCTTCCTGGATCTGTACAAAATTAAAATAGAATGGTAAAGAGGTTTTTTTTTTCCTTGATCTCAAAAGTACTTTAAATTCTGAAATAGTGGCCTTTAACCACTTTAATACCAGGCACTTTTATCCCATTCTTGCTCAGGCCATATTTCAGCTTTCAGTGCTCTCACACTTTTAAATGACAATTAGTCATGCTACACTGTACCCAAATGACATTTTTATCATTTTGTTTTTAGACGGAGCTTTCTTTTGGTGACATTTAAATACCACTGTTTTTTTTTTCTTTTCATTTTTTGCTATATAAGTGAAAAATTACAGAAAATTAGAAAACAACATGTTTTTCTTAAAGTTTCTGTTATAAAATTTTGCATACAGATAATCTTTCTTCATAAATTTAGGCCAAAATTGGTGTTCTACATTTCTTTAGTAAAAATAATCTGTATCAGTCTTGATGTAATGTGACTTTTTATTTCATTTACAAATTTTCAATTTTCAAAATGCCAGGATAGTACAGACAACCCCTCCCCAAATGACCACTTTTTGGAAAGTAGACAGTCCAAGTTATTAAGTAAGGGACATGATGAGTGTTTTGTAGTTGTAATTTTATTGCTACAAGTTTGTGGAAAATTCAGGATGAAAATGAACCTTTTCTATTTCAAGATTTTTATTAAAGTTTTTGTTTTAATAATACAACAAGCTCAAGATACGCCCACTCGGGCAGAGCAGAACAATAACATACATAAACAGATATATCCTGCTGACTTGTATTAGCCAAATAACGTAATGTCCAATGACATCAAGGAGGGACGGCAAAAAGCCGAACCAAGTAGTAGCAGCAGCAATCCATCATATTACCGGGGAAAAAAAAAAAAAACTGATAGAAAAAAGAAAATAATAAAATAAGGAAAAAAGAAAAATTCAGAGAGAACGTGGAAGGAAAGAAGACTAGAAGAGCCACGGATCCAGGGCTAGCACAGGCAACTACGATAAGAGGCCATAACTAGTAGGAGGCAGGGATGGCAGGGAATGCGTAACGTATCCAAGGTTCCCAAACCTTAAGGAATCTCAGATGAGAATCTTGAAGAACGCTAGACATCTGTTCATTGAGCAGCATAGCATTCATCCGAGTCTTCACCCCCTGGAAGACAACCGAAGGGGTTCTCCAAGCTTGAGCTATAGCATGTTTGGCCGAAATAAATAGGTAGGATGCCAATTTCTGCTGAGACCTAGACAGACCCAAAATTGGGCAATGCAGGAGGGCCACCCTTGCATCCCTACGGACCGTAATATGAAATAACATTTACAATTAAAAAGTGAATACTTGTGAGCCACTATGTCTCAGATGTTCAGTATAATATGTGCAATAGGTGGTAGTGAACTACCTGTTGTGTTAGGTGCGCTGGCACTTTCACAAACTCACTTAATTGTGTATATGTAAATTGATTAGACGTATTTATAATGCCGCGCTCCTACTATAAATACTTAATAATGTATTGTATATCACTCATAAACATCAATAAACTAAATAAATTAATAATAAATATAATAAAAATCAATAAATTAATTAATGTGATATAGTGAATGAAAAATCAAATCATGAATATGCTAAATTGTGCCATTAGTGCTCAAACAATATTGTCAATGCCATATTCCAATTTCATGATTAAATAAAGAGTCTTTTATATCTTTGTGCAAAGGTGCATACAAAAATGAACAGTCTTATGTATCTTTGTGCAAAATGTGCAATGTGCAGGTGAACTCCTTAATCCCTCTTTCCCTCTGACGTCACGACGTTGCATCGGAGAGGCTCGGCGACTCTAGCAGAGGCAGACAGAGAGGCAGAGGGAATCACCAGCTCTGCATATCTGCATAAGATAAGTGCCTCATATGCTTGTATCACCGCATCTGGTAGCAATAAATACGCTTATTCAAAAGGATAAGACACCATGGTCTTTTTTTCTCCATCTGATCTATATACTCAACATTGAGGAAAGGTGGATATAAGAAGGAGGTGTCCCCAGGAGGGGAAATAGGAGATACTGATACCCCTTTTCAAAAATCTATCTATGAGTGGCCACGTGGATGAATTAAGAGGAGATTATAGGAGGAGGATCTGAGCAGGTCTGCACATCCATCTGGAATACTGCATAAAGGAGCACTATCCCACCAGTCCTAGAAGGACTACAAGTCTACTTGCCTAAATTCATTTGGGCAAATATTAAGGTGAGCACATATTGAGACTACACGGCACCTGGAAAGAGGGATTAAGGAGTTCACCTGCACATTGCACATTTTGCACAAAGATATATAAGACTGTTCATTTTTGTATGCACCTTTGCACAAAGATATAAAAGACTCTTTATTTAATCATGAAATTGGAATATGGCATTGACAATATTGTTTGAGCACTAATGGCACAATTTAGCATATTCATGATTTGATTTTTCATTCACTATATCACATTAATTAATTTATTGATTTTTATTATATTTATTATTAATTTATTTAGTGTATTGATGTTTATGAGTGATATACAATACATTATTAAGTATTTATAGTAGGAGCGCGGCATTATAAATACGTCTAATCAATGAAATAACATTTGCATCAAACCAAAAACCCTAGAGCAGAAGCCTATCAATCACAGGCACGACCACCAAATGTGCAAGATGTCCCCACAGTTCGAAAATGAACATTTTAACACATAGTTGTCAATTTAATAAGATCTTTTTCACAGCATGGGCATACTTAGAATTACACCCCAAAACACATTTTGCTACTCCTCCTGAGTATGGGGACACTACATACAGTATGTGAGACTTTTTCATGATTATGTACCAGACATTGTATCTTGTGTATCACACAAATCAACCAATTGTATCAGAACCAGTGTACCGTAATGGTCACCTCTGTACGAGTGATCAGGGAATGTAGCTTGGTGTAGTGTCACCTATAGCAGTCCCCATTCCTATAAGCCTAGAAAGCCTAGCTTACTGGTAGGTGGCTGCCCCTCAGGAATGCCATGTTCACTGGCCAGGAAGTACAGGAGGCTGACCAAAGGAAGAACAAAAGCATACTGTGGTTCCAGGAGTGCAGTTTTCCACATTGGTATTTCACAGAAACCTAGTCAGTTGAACATGCAGATGGACCAGTTCAGGCTGCAAACAGAGACATTGTCAGGAAACAGGCAAAGGATCGGTCTTGAAAACCGGCAGTAACGTGGTCAATACACAGACCAGGGGAAATACAGGCAGAAGGCAGAGGCAACACTTCACTGGTGTGTTGGTGACCAGGAACATTTTTGCTGGCTGCACTAGTCTAGTGACACTGGGGACTAGTAATCAAGGCACACTGCTACTGACTTACACTGGTTTAGTGATGCTGTGACTGGGGTGGCGGTGGTAAGGGTCTGTGACAGTGTGACTGGGGCGGCGGTGATCAAGAACACTGTGACTGAGGCAGCTGTGATTAGACAAACTGACAGGCAGCACTGGTCTGGTGACATTGTACTGCTGTGGTGGCACTGACATACAGTAGAATTAGAGCAGCCATCCATTATAAATGATCACTGCCATAGCCATACAATGTACCATAGTGACACTACACTTGATCTAATGACAGTATGTAAAAAAAATAAAATATATATATATATAGGACATCTTTCAATGTTGATGGGTAGTAAGCTTGATGAGTTTGGTTCCCACAGAGCCCTGATCTCAACATCATGGAGTCTGTCTGGGATTACATGAAGATACAGAAGGATTTGAGGCAGGCTACATCCACAGAAGATCTGTGGTTAGTTCTCCAGGATGTTTGGAACAACCTACCTGCTGCGTTCCTTCAAAAACTGTGTACACATAGAAGAATTGATGCTGATTTGAAGCCAAAGAGTAGTCACACCAAGTATTGATTTGATTTATATTTTTTCTTCCTTTTGCTCACTTTGTATTTTGTAAATTGATAAAAATAAACCGTTAAAATATATATATTTTTAAAATCGTTCTTCCTTTTACAGCATTTCTTTACACCTGACTAAAACACAACCACACACACACAAAACCATTGCACAGAGCAGGTGTGTAGGCGTGTATAACATTTTTTATTGTGTTAGTGATTGTAAAGAAAAATTAAAAAAACAAAGTAATTTTTGTAACCAAGCATTTATTTGCCTAAAGATTCTAACTTCTTTAGATTATGGATTCTTAGATATTCTTGTAATAAGTTTTTGTTTTGTTTTCTCTATTTCTCTAAAGCTTCGACCACCTCCCCCAGCAGTTTATCTGTTTGTTCTGGATGTATCATACAATGCTATAGAGTCGGGGTATCTACGATATTTCTCTCAGTCACTTTTGGAAAATCTAGACAAGTATGTATTTTGTTCCAGAAATGTTTTATTTATTGAACAGCCTCCATCACATAACCTATGCCATCCCTTTCAAATAAATGTAATGGCGTGTATATATTAGGGAGTCAGGATAGATTCCCTTGTATAAACTTTTACAGGGCTGCTCATTCTGTTTGCTAAGAAATAGATAAGCTTATCATGATTTTTTTTCTTGTCCAGGTACATATGTAAACATTAAGCTATGTAAATTGATCTTCAGTATATGTATTACTTTTATCTGAATGACTCCTTCATTCCAAATAGTTAATAGCTATTGTCCAAATTTAAATTTAGCAATAGAAAACAGTTTGTGGACTGCTTGAGTTTTTTTTTGTACACCATGTTGTTCACGTTGCAATCTCAAGTATCTGCAGTACTATCAATTACAAAACAGGACTTAATGAGACCAGCAGCTTAGAACATTGTTTCTGGTTTGCCGCTGTTCTTTGTTTATAGTACAGAAACACACTCACAAGACTTTATTTTCGCTGCGTAGTTTGACTGGTATTGACTGAACAGTAAGTAGATATGCATTTTGAAAAAAGAAACGGTTTTCCTCCAATATCAGACTACCTTTTACATGGGAAGCTTCACATTGCTTGCACTGTAGTAAAAAATATGGTAGCTGCTTCTGCCAGTGGATTCTTTTTTATTTTGCTGAGCCAATAAGAAATTCATGAGATGTCACCACATTAAGCTTGGCTGCATGTATGTACAATCTGTACCACTTGAATTTGATTACAGTTAAAATATTGGCAGAGGGGATGCTACTATGTGTTGATCAGGTTATATGCACCACCCACACACAGTGCCATGTTTGCAGTTTTTTGGTTGTACTTGGTGACATAGTCAAAGCTCAGCTCCCTTTTATCTACTAACCATGTACCGTGATTTTCATTCTCTGAATTTAGAATTAGCTTAGAATTATTCCTCACTTTCTGAGCTGGAATATGGGTATCCTATAGCCACCAAAACACAGGAAAGCAGACTAATGCAAACACCAACTTCATCCAGGATGATTTCTCAAGTGTACGGCATATGGATTGAAGGGGAAGTTATGCCTAACACTAACTATTCTTAAAAAACACTTCCCCACACACACACACATGCACACCGACTTATTATGCATACCCTGTGCACAAAAGATCTGTGTATGTGCCTCTTTTTAATCTGCTCTGGTCCTGACATGTGATCCTGCACCTTTGTCTCCCCTGCATCAGTAAGTGGCTGTTGCAAGGGAGAGGAGGGAGATAGTGATACAGGAGGAAAAGCTGTGGGGGATGGAGTGGTAGGAAGAGTGGAGGAGATCGACAATTAGCAGGGGGCGGGGTAGGCTTCCCTGAAGAGCTGGGTTTTCAGGGTGCGCCTAAAGGAGAGGAGAGTAGGTGATAGTCTGATGGATTGGGGTAGGGGAGTTCCAGTGGATAGGTGATGCCCTGGAGAAGTCCTGGAGGCGGGCATGGGAGGAGGAGACCAGGGAACTAGAGAGAAGGAGGTCTTGTGAGGAGCGGAGAGTGCGTTTTGGTTGGTATTTGGATATTAGGTCGGTGATGTAGTTTGGGGCGGTATTATGGACAGCTTTGTATGTCAGTGTAAGCATTTTGAATTTGATCCCAGCTACGGCTGGGCCATGGAATCCTATGGTTGATGTCATGGCTCCTGGAAGTCACAGCTGTTGAGTGCTTCCTTACACAGGATCAACAAAGCTGCAGGATCACATGATTAGACTGGATTAAAGAAAGGTAAGTATGCAGGATAAGTGGGAGGAGGGGGTGGGTGGGGCTGTTTTTAAGAACAGTTTGTGTTAGGCTTTTTTCCACTTTAGGTTATGACTAGAGATGTCATATTCTTTTATGAGAAGCAAAGTTCTCTGGAATCCAAGTCTTTATTTGCTCTTGTGTACACTCTGTACTGAGACCATATACTGCCAGTAATAGATATACCACACTTTAGGAAACCTTGGTTTCACCAAGGTAAGCACGGTTAGTTCAAATAATAACCTTACCTATACATGGAGTCCGTTTTAACAAACTTTCAAATTAATAGGCATTCAAAAAATAATCCATAAGCCTTAGACACCTTGCACACGGCGTCATAATTTACTGATGTTTACTCAGGAACTTGTGACGTTCGTGTGCAAGGGGCCAAAAACTGTGTAAAGACCTGAGTAATGTTGAGTATAGGCGAGTAAAGGTGTGCATATTTAGGTGTATATATATTTTTTTTATTTCAGGTACTTATATAGCGCCATCAATTTACGCAGCATGTTTATTTATACATATATATATATAAATACACGTGAATGTGTAAGGCCCTCAAGTGATTTTTTTGCTTGTCCAGAACACATAAATACTGTGCATAGTCTAGCCACATGTTCACGTTAAAGACAGTCTGCACCAAGAGAAACACATTAATGAAATGTTGACCTCTGTTACTGAAAGTTCTAGGTGCATGGCTGTTACATTGCCTAATTTTTATTATAGGTACTTATGTAGTGCCGTCAATTTACATAGCGCTTTACATATATATTGTATGTTCACATCAGTCACTAACCTTCATGGGATGTACAATCTGAGGTCCCTAACTTACATTCATACATACACATACTAGGGCCAATTTAGACAGGATCCAATTAACCTACCAGCATGTCTTGGAGTGTGGAAGGAAACCGGAGTACTCGAGAAAAAACCCACACGGGCACAGGGAGAACATGCAATCTCCAGGCAGGTGGTGCCATGGCTGAGATTCGAACCAACAACCCTAGTACTGCCAGGCTGAAGTGATAACCATTTAGCCACTGTATATAGACGAGTGCAATTGTTCTTCATTGCCAGTATTGTGGCCCCTTGCACATGGGCGTCACAAGTTCCTGAGTAAACACCCAAGCAAATTACTGCACTCAAATGTTAAATTTTCTATTTTTGTTTTAGTGCTCTGTACTCAATCCTGTATTACTCATCTTTACTCAGCTGTGTGCATTGTCACATAGACAACAATGCATCTCATTTCAGATCAGTAAAAAAAAACCTCAGCATTTTTTTTTTACTCCTGTGTGTAACAGGCCTTATAATGGATTTTGTAAATACCAGGTGCTGAGGTAAGTGAGTGTGAAATTACGACTTTCAAGTCCTTGTCCCTAGATCCAGTAGCTGTAAGTGGAGGTGTTCTACACTTTTCCCAATTCTACATCTATTGATGTTTAAAAATTACCTATTGACTTCTATGGGAAGAATACATTATACTAGAGAGATGCAGTGTCTAAGGTTCTGAAAAAGTGAGTAGTTTAGTTCAATTCCACTTACTTTATCCGTCCATCCTTCCTGATCCTCCATTTTCTCTGGAAATGAATGCCTTTAATATAGTGCTCTCAGACAAACCTGGGGGATCAGTAACTGCTTGAAACTGAAATCTAATCATGTTATGATCATTGTTGTCCATCATGTCACATCTTAATCTATATCTATTTTAAGATTGCGTGGAGATTCCAGAACAAAAATTGGCTTCATAACATTTGATAGCACTGTGCATTTCTACAATTTACAAGAAGGTCTTTCACAACCCCAGATGCTAATTGTTTCAGATGTAGATGGTAAGTATTTGGAATGTTAAGTCCACCAGGTAGTTCTAAAATTTGCCACTTTTACATTGTGGCACAATGCACAAAAATAAAAATAAAATACTGACAGTTTGTGTCTTGTGAAAGTGAAGCTACTTAAGATCAAGTTTCTTTTGGCAAGTTTGTCTTACATTAAAAGTGGCGTAGCATGCACTAAATTTAAGTACAGGTTCTAGACAGGTACATGAATTGGGCACATGCTGCACCACTTTTAGAATGAATGTTTTGCAAAATCTGTCTGCGTCAGTCTTTTTACAGTATGCATAAAACATTATGCTCATAGTGCGCAAAGCACAGAAAATTTTCAAAATCCTTTTTTGCTGGTATAGCTGCTCATCTGCCCTTCATTATATTTACCCCTTTGTACCTGACAGCTATTGGCAATGCCATGCTTTGGTTAGTAACCTAATCCACGTACGCTTGGACTGCACTCCTATGAAACAAAATTTGGGCCTGCATTCTACACATCTATGCTAGGGCAACAGATATGTTTGATTCCAAATACTACCACGAGTAGCTACAGAATATGATGATTTGGATAGAAATACATTTATTTGAGCTTCACAGATGATCTTCCAACATTCAAGTGTTTTCAGATGGCTGCTTAATGTAGCCATTGTTACTGCCTGGCTGTGGCTGGATTTGGGAATGCCTAAGACTCCCCCCCCTTTCATTTCCTCTTTCCACAGTTCTATTTATCTCTCCTCTGCCCCTCTTCCCCACCTTGCTTATTTTTTCCCCCTCTTCAATTTGTTTTCTTTTTCTGTCACTTTAATTTCATTACCCAATTTATGTCCATACCAGAGATATTTAATTTAAACTATGCTACGACATTGCTGAAAATTTGTGAGAGTTGATCCAATAGTAATGTTGGTAAATAGTGTCTTCCCCTTCTTGTTTATATCTAAAATTCTGTAGTAGGTAAATTCCCATAATGATACATTTGTTATAGGTAATTGTCGAGTTTTGCTATTTTATTGAATGGCAAATGTGATCTCATATATCGTCTTGTGTATATGGCAAATACTGTATATTCTTAAATATTTTCCATTTGACTTGCCACGTATCATTTGTATATAGCAGGTATGTTCTAAAACTGCTGCCACTTGAAGCATATCATAAAATGAAGCGTATCATTTTGTGTATATGGATTTTTTTTTCTGTTTATTATAAAACTTAAATTAAAATTGAGCTAAAAGTTATTCTCAAAAATGATGAAAACGTTTGGAATATCTTAAAAATTATTAAAACATTTAGAATATCTTATCTATAATAGAATTATACAGATTTCATGGCCCGTTCAAACCAGGTGCTATGGGATTGCGGTTGGCAGCTCTGTTGTCCTGTCAGTTCAGTTTGCAGCATCACGTTACAGTGATGTGCTCTGAAAAAAAAAAATGACATGCAGTACTTTTTTCGGCATATTACAACAAAATATACCGCTTTGCACTGTGCTGCGACCAATAGATCTTGATGAGATGCCACATTTCAAGAAAGTTAGCTTAAAAAAAAAATTTTTTGACGAATGCAGGGTGCTTGCAGTACCACACTAGCAGCAGCCCTCAGAGATATATGTGTGTTAGGATTTATCTATTTTCCTGACATGAGAATAGAGCTAACCAAAAATAGATAACTAATAAGTTTCCGTTCTGTACCTGCAGTCTAACCACCGTTGCTCTAGATTTAGGAAGAATTCAAAGAACTTCTGCTTTTTTTTAATTGCCTGTTGCTTTTTTAACTTTCTGCCAAAACTGTCAGTACCAAAAACATTAAAGGGAGTTACCACTGGCAAACAGATTTAACTTGAACTTGCCTGTTCTTTCACCACCATTGTATATTAAACTAAATCATGTGTGTGATAGTACTGCTTCTGTTGGTATATTGGTGGCTAGTTGTGCCTTGACCATGATTTTATTGCCTTGCTGTTAATCCTGCTCTGCTCAATTCAGGTTCTGTGTGGCTTATGCAGGCCATAGATGGGGAGAAAAACTGCAGATTTTTCTTTTAAAAAACAAAAAAATCGGTTGTTCAAGTGGCCGACGTTACCATCAATGGTAAAAAAAATCGGCCGATTTTCTACCCGTCTAGAGCCGGCAAAAAGTGTCCCTACAGAGAGCTCTGCTATTTCTTTGACAGTTCTCTGACAGTTCCTTGACATTTATAGAAGTTGCAACAATGTATCTATTTGTTTCCATTTAGGATACAGATGTTTTTATTCGGAAACAAATAGATACAATGTTTCAACCGCTGTAAATGTCAAGGAACTGTCAGAGAACTGTCAGAAATAGCGGAGCTCTCTGCAGAGACACTTTTTGCTGGACTGGAATTTCTTCTTATTTTTATCCTACTTCTTCTTCTTCTTCTTCATCCTCATCCTCTTCTTCTTCTTCTTCATCCTCATCCTCTTCTTCTTCTTCTTCATCCTCTTCTTCTTCTTCATCCTCATCCTCTTCTTCTTCTTCATCCTCATCCTCTTCTTCTTCTTCATCATCCTCATCCTCTTCTTCTGCATCATCCTCATCCTCTTCTTCTGCATCCTCATCCTATTCTTCTTCTTCATCCTCATCCTCTTCTTCTTCATCATCCTCATCCTCTTCATCATCATCCTCATCCTCTTCTTCATCCTCATCCTCTTCTTCTTCATCCTCATCCTCTTCTTCATCCTCATCCTCTTCTTCATCATCATCCTCATCCTCTTCTTCTTCTTCATCCTCATCCTCTTCTTCATCTTCTTCATCCTCATCCTCTTCTTCTTCCTCATCCTCTTCTTCCTCATCCTCATCCTCTTCTTCTTCATCCTCTTCTTCTTCCTCTTCTTCTTCTTCATCCTCTTCTTCATCCTCTTCCTCTTCTTCTTTTTCTTCTTTTTGTCTTCCTCTTGCAGGTCACTGCTCATGCGCAGATTTTTTATCGGTTTGCCCACTAATTGCCGCGTAAAAATCGGCCGATTTTTTTCCAACTTTACCGGAAAAAAAAAAACGGCCAAAATACCGAAAAACGGCCGACCAAATCGCCCATTAACGATCCGAAAATCGGCCGATTTTATTTTCGGCCGAAAAATCGGCCGATTTTCGACCCATCTATGGCCTGCATTAGCCTTTGTACTTTTGTAGTATTTTAAGGTATACCTAAAGCATATTGTGCCATTTGGAGAAATGCATTCACTTTCTGTCACCAGGAAGTATAAGGAAATCTTTTCAAAATAAGGGATTCCTCTCTTAGGCAGCTGTAATCAAAATATGTTTCCCCTTTGAAAGATTTTTTTTTTTTTCCTATTCCAGTGACAGTTAAAATTGTGATTTTTTTTTTTTTTTTTTTTTTTTTCTTTTGCCTTTTATTTTTCATAAAAAAATTTTTTAGTATATCTTATCTGAAAGAAAATCTTACAGAATTCAGGACCTGTTCTTACCAGAAGGACTGCGCTGGGCAGCCTTGGTGTCAATGTACTAAGTGTGGAAAGCAGTTGAAAAAATGGTAGAGGTTCTAACAGAGGCTCCTAGTCAATTCAAAATAATAAATAAATAAAAGTAGATTCCAACCAAACATGAAATATTACATTTAGTCTTGGTTCACACCAAATGCGGCTTTGAAATCCCGATTTCAAAGCCACCAATCAGTGTGATTTCATGTGCAGCTTGCCGGCATCTGTGCAACTTCATGCACAGATGTCAATGCAAGTCTTGTGTGAAACTGAAAAAAAATTAGCAGGAACCTTTTTCAAAGTCGTTCCGAAGAATGAAACGGTTCTATAGCCGCAAAGAGGGTGCGACTTGCCATGCGACTTTGATCTGTCAAGTCGCATGACAAATTGGAGGAACAGGACTGCTCTGTGCAAAACCCTTGCACAGAGCGTGTCTGTATAACATATTTGCCAGTTAAAAAAAAAAAAGCCAGTTGTAGTTATGTGTTTCATGTTTGCGATGCTCTAGTAATTATCACACCTGTGGCTCGCAAGTCACTTTGATTCACCTTTAGTGTTACTTTAAGAATTCCAAAGCGAATAACAGTTTCCCATAAAATGCACCCTGCATACAGATATTGAAATCTGAAATTATGCATTTGCACAAATAACAGTGCTTGTGTGAGCTAATGCTTGACTCCAGTAGACACTAATAAATCGATAAATTTGGCCTAATCTTTTGAATAGTGCCTAATAGTGACAAGTTGAATCTAACATTTTAATAATTTTGCTTTTTTTTTAAACTAGAATGGCAGTTTATTTACAAAGTAACAGATTTCCTAGGTGCCCTTCCCCGACAGCATGTTAATGTTACTGGCACATTACACACAAGAAAAGATGCTTTGGGTCATGGTAGTGGAGTATATTTTGTTCCTAAATCTGATTTGGACAGCTATAAAATGTTAAGAAAATTTAACCAATTTCCCCATCCACACATTTAATGTGGATGGAGGGAATCATTCTCGCTGAGCTATTATATTCTGCTTGAAAAATTATTTACAGTGCTCAACAGTGCAACTAAACCTTAATGTAAAATAAAGTGTCCATAAAACGTCCAATGATGTTATAAAGTGCTTCCAATCTCTGAAGACGCCCAGTGGGAGGGGCGAAACTCGTTGGACAGAGCTTTCAGTTTCCAGTGAGGTCACATCCAGTTCGTGGAATGCACACGGTTAGCAGCGTTTCCGGACTGCATCCTAACTGCAAAACAGATTTTTATACAAAGCAAGAAATTTTTTTAGATATTGTAAGTGTATTTCTACAACCTATCTTTTAATAAAATTATGACTACACTATGAGGACCCCCCTTCCCCCTCTGACTTTTGATTGAGGTACCCTCTGACTTTTGATTGAGCTTTACTGAAAGCTGAGAGGAGAATGGAGAGTAACGGGTGGGAGAGAAGGAGAAATTCCTCACCAGAAAAACAAAAACACTTTTTGATGCTTTTGCCTACAGCAAGGGGTCCACCTTATCTGGTGAGTGTGGGCCAAACACTCCACTGTTTGATTTGCAGTCAAACGTTTGAACCTAATGAACATTCAACCGCGAACTTCGAACTCTGTGAAAGTCTATGGGACTCAAACTTGTAAATTTAAAAGTGCCCATTTTGAAGGCTTATATGCAAGTTGTTGGCCATAAAAGGGGTATGGGAACTCGGGTACTGCTCTGACAGACATGAATCAGTGAACAAAATGTTCTTTAAAAGTACCATTTTTAAAGGGGCAATCATTTTTCATTGCTTAAAATGAAAAGAAAAAAAAAAAGGACAATTCCTTTAAATATCATGCGTGGGGGTCCCCTTAAACTACCTGCAAAATTGCACTTCTGTACAATGTATAGAACCTGCTGCAGAAGGACTGACATTTAAAAAAAATAAGTAAATAAACCGTGTGGGGTCCCCCTCAATCCATATCAGACCCTTTAGGTCTGGTGGGAAGGTTAGGAGGGACCACACAGTAAAGAAAAAAAAAGTGTGTGTGGGGGGGTCCCCCTAAATACCTTATCAGGCCCTTTAGGCCTGGTAGGACTTTTACGGGGAGCCCCACCTCCCAAAAATGGGGGAAAGTGCGTGCATTCCTCCTGAAAGCCGTACCAGGCCCTTTAGTGGGAACCCCACCTCCCAAAAAAAGTCCCCCCTTAAAGTGTGGGCCCCCCCCCCCTAAATTCCTACTAGACCCTTGATTTGAGCACAGGTCTGGCCCTGCGGCTTACCAGGCCCCAAGCCCTTGACATTGGGACAGCAATGGGGGGCAAGGGCCTCTTCGGCACAACCCTGGCCTGGTAGTTGTGGGGGGCCTGCGGACAGAGGGGCTCATTAGCATCAGGGTACCATTTTAAGGGGGCACCCTGATGCTAACCCCCACCCTCCTTGTGAATCAGTAAAGGGTACTTATACCCATCCACGAAAGGCTTAAATTTAGAAAAAATAAAGATGCCATACTTTTGAAAATTCTTTAATTGAGCAAAAAACAAAACAACAGTTTTTGACAAGTCCTTTAATTAAAAAAAATAAAGACACCCGCCGGCCAGATGTAAAAAAAATAAAAACAAAAAAACAAAAGGCGTGGCTAGCGGTGATGTCACTGCTAGCTCCACCCAATTGTTTACATGTGACCAGCAACTGTCAGACCTACCCCATACTCATTCACAAGGGGGGGGCAGCATCAGGGTTCCCCATTATTGAAAGGGGTACATTGATGTTAATGAGCCCCCTACCCACAGACTCCCACAACCACCAGGCCAGGGTTGTGGGGAAGAAGCCCTTGTGGGGAAGAGGCCTGGTAAGCTTTAGGGAGGGTGGGGGCCCTTGATCGCCCCCCCCCCCCTTTCTTGCCCTGTCAGGCCTGTGCTCAGAGTCTGGTAGGAATTTAGGAGGGACCCACCCTTTTCCCCCCATTTTTGGGAGGTGTGGCTCCCCTTAAAAGGGCCTGGTATGGCTTTTAGGGGGAACCTCACCTAAACACACACGCCTGACCTGTGGTCATTTGCATGCTTTAGCCAATCATTGCTCTCACAATGCAATGTAGGTGAACAGCCCGCCAAATGCCTTTACTATTCGTGTGATCAGCGAACACACGAACGGCTCCTGTTCAAGTCGAATTTACGTTTGACTCAGACATCGAGCCCAACACTAGTGGTCACAAGAGGGATCACTGATCAAAGAGCACTTCCTGAGCACCAAGTCACTTTGTATGATTTGTTGAGCACTTTAATGAAGAGAATATAATCGTGGATTAGAAGCACTTTATCACATCATTGGACGTTTTATGGAAAATTTTATTTTACATTTACATTAAGGTTTAGTTGCACTGTTAAACTTTGTCTGTATAATTTTTCATGTATTAGTGTTTTACACTTGAACAGCAGCACCAGTATTATTTTTAACATAATAATTTTTTGATTGTTTGGTTTTATCATTGTTTGTAACCTTAGCGTGAATTTTTGATTTGTGTTTGTATTCTGCTGGCAGGAACCTTCCCTCCATGCACAATACAGTGTTCAGGGTTGCTGGCTATAGATCGACATGTGTACAGCCAGTTAGCCCCATACATGGATTGAAATTTGACCAGTCCCTGCTGAACACTGCTGAATTTCAATCTATGGATGGTCAACTTTATTTCTGCTGTAAAACTCAAAATATTTGTAGCATTCTTCTCTTCTATTGATTATTCTAGTGACACCACTACTAGTTTCCTCAACTATTTTAGTTTTTCAGTTTGCACTAATTTTTAATATATAGCATATTATTTTCCCTTCGGGTTAGTAGTTGCTAATAGCGGGTCTTGTTTTTTTCAGATATTTTCTTACCAACCCCTGATGGTTTACTTGTAAATTTACATGAAAGCATTGAGGTAGGAAACTGTGTGTGAGTGTGTTTAGATTCTGTTTAATTTCTAGCCCCGTTTATTCCATTAAAAAAATAAAAAAATACTTGCCTTACTCCCAGACTACTGGTGGGCTTGCCTAGGCGAGCATGACATTGCTTGCCTTTCCTGTGGGATCCCAGATCTAGTGAGAATGCACTTATACACAGTGGAGTAGAGTCTTCTCATGAGACTTGGGATCCTTAGCTGAATGGTGATACTGTGGTCTCTATTAGCATGCCTAACTCTAGGAATAAGATATGGTTTTTTTTTTTTTTCCTGTTATTTTTGTATTATTTGTGGAGGGATTCCAGGCATTAAGTGGACCTTGCATAAATAGGTTCAATTTAACCTTTTACATTACTGCAAACTGTCCAACCATGCTTCTTGGCAACAGCAGGACAGAGGTGAACAAGACCAAGCACTATATGAACATAGTCCCCTGGGGGATTAACCATTTCACTGCTAGGCCCTGCACTCCACTTTTAATCTCAAGTGGTCAGACCATTTTTGTAATTTTTCCATTGCTTTTTTATTTTTCCCTTACAGCTTTCAGAGTTTGTAAAACCCACCAAACCATATATTTTCTGAAAGAAATTTGACCAGTAGTATAAAAAAGAAGGTGCTATTAAATTTTAAGGCCCCGCAATATTTGCACAAATGTTTATCAAAACAATATTTTAGCTAAAAATACACTAAAATCATTATTAGCAGATACAAACAGCACATTTTACAATATTCCTGCTGAATTCCTACTGAATATAAAAGCTTAACCTGTATTGAGTTAATAACAAATATTTGTAAAATTTCTCTAAAAATCTGGAGGTTTTAATTTTTCCTTTACAGCTTTCAGAGTTTGTAAAAGCCCTCCAAACCAAATATTTTATGAAAGCACATGACCAGTAGCATAAAACCTTTTTAGACCCCGCAGTAGTTGCGCAAATGTTTATCAAATCACTTATTTCTTGCTATTGTCTGCAAAAATGGCGTTAAATCACCTGGTGAGGAGGTGTCACATCGCTTCCTCACTGCTTGTTAGTGGCCTCTGGAATGTAGTCTCTAGCTTCAGAGGTAAGGGTGATTTAGACCCTTAGCCTTGGTTCACACTAGCCTGCTGGTTGCAGGTGCAGGAATCACAGCTGTTCCCGCACCCGCAATCACCTGCAACGAGACACGAAGGGCTGCCATTTATTCTCATTCTCAGCGCGATCTCGGGTGCCAGAACAGCAGGGAAACCTTGTGGTTTGCTGGAAACGTAAGGGTTAAATAAGTTTCTGTGACTTCTGCAATTAGTTTGATTATTTTTTAAAACATCCTTTGGCTGTTATCATGCAAATGTGCCTCTAATACTTTTTGTTTGCCTTGAGTACAAGAACAGTTTCTGTCGTGATGACAGAATATGTCTAAGTAATTATTGTCAGGAATCTTTTTTTTCATTTTAGAGAGTAGCTTCTAACTTTGGTGTTCATACTAATTTTTTTTTCTTTATCCATAGCTCATCAAAGATCTATTAACAGCTCTGCCCAGCATGTTTTTAAGCACAAGAGAAACACATAGTGCTTTAGGCCCTGCTCTTCAGGGAGCATTTAAATTGATGTCTCCAACGGGTGGACGTATATCGGTGTTTCAGACTCAGTTGCCATCTTTGGGTGCTGGTCTATTACAGTCTAGAGAAGATCCTAACCAAAGGTCCAGCACTAAGGTACAATGTTTATTGCTCATTTCTTGCATTTTCTTTCATGAATATGTTGACATATACAGTATGAGAATTGTTAGTGCTATGCTGCAATGGCTGCCTATAGAATCGCATTACATTAGAGCAAATTATAAAATGCAGCATCTGCTTGAACCAAATGTGAAACCACCTTAACGAATGCCATATTTGTTTTGGAATTTTAAGATGTCTGCAGTACAGAGAATGTGCTGCTTTACTTAAAACACTCAAGGGTGTTGTTATGTGAGTTGTGAAAAAGGCACATTTTGCCTTAAAATTGCTTACAAACCATAACCATTACATATACCCAGTGACTGGCCTCAGGTGATACACAGAGATGAAACAAATCCTCCTACATAAGTTGTACCTGTTTATCTGCATTATTCTCCTCTACAGCCCTTCAAAGTGCAGGATTTATACAGTTTGTCTCAGTTACCAGAAATTAGGGGGCACAGAGCTGAAGTTACACTCTGCAGATCCCAGTGAGGAGAGCTGATTGGAGGGAAGGGAATCTTGTACGTATGTATCAGAGGTATGACAGCAAGCCTGTCAAAGTCAAGAACGCACGGAGAGACAAAGCAGCTGTAGGGATCTTAACGCACATGCCAATGTTTACACATATACATGCACAGAAGCACAGCTCTGGACACAGATAATCGACATCCAGACCATGCATATGGTAAAGCAGTCTTGTTCACATTGTAGCTTTGTTTTAACTTGTTTCTGCATTTTATTTTAAGGGTATACAGCATCTGGGTCCTGCCACTGATTTCTATAAGAAGTTGGCCTTGGATTGCTCAGGACAGCAAACAGCAGTGGACTTGTTCCTTCTAAGTTCTCAATATTCTGACTTGGCATCTTTAGGTCTGTAAAATTCACAAAGCTATTAAAGCTATTTTCCAATTTAAGGCCTGTGTCGACATGCTTTGGACTTGTTCCAGTGAGAAAAAGTAACATGTTTTTAAGTGTAATCTGCTTTCATGTGGCGTCAGTTTGAGATGGTTCAGAATTTTCTGATAGATGCATTTGACCTGTTGACCTCTTAAACCATATCAACCTGCTTCAATTTGATTTTGCATTTTACGTTGACTTGTATGGGGAATTGAAGCCGTTCTGACACAAAGAAAAGTTAGTTGATACTTTAGGTATCTTTAGGTACTATCAGCTAACTTTTCTTTGTGTCAGAATGGCTTCTATTCCCCAAACAAGTCAACGTAAAATGCAAAGTGTTACTAAACCTAAAGTGTTACTAAACCTAGGACCCTGCATTCACTCTATCTGGTCTCCCACAGTATTTAAAACATGGAAATCCAATTATCTTAGTAAATATAAACTGGTAAATACCTTTTCTCATCAGCTGTTAGAGCAGTCTGTTGACTTCTATCAGTGTTCAGCAGAGCACTTGTTAAAGCTTGTAGGAGGAGTTTTCTTTCTGCTCTAGTAAGATGCAAAACCCCTGATCTCTATGTGGACGGTGCTGATTGGCCCTGTGCTGATCACATGCACTTTCCCAAGAAAAGAAAAAAAACCTTTCCAGCAGTAGACACCCAACTGAGCATGTGCAGAGTGTCTCCACACGCTATGTCTTATCAGGAGATAACAGGGAGACACTGGAAGAAGGGGAGGATCAGAGAAGTCAGGATCAAACAGCAATTTTACACAATGCAGAGGATTAACCCCTTAGGTTCCACAGTGAGTAGTATATCAAGCATGCTTTACTGCATATACGGACTGATTTTACTGTTGTGGGTTTAGTAATACTTTAAGGTTCAATTCATGAAGTTTTACACAAAGATAAGGAATTTTATTTATTACCACGTGACTGTAATTTTCAAATCTCATTGGACTCAACTAAAAGTAGCTGTCACTTTTTAAAAGGATTCTTATCTGGTGTTTTAGCTTTATGAATTGAGCCTATAGGTTTGTACACAACATCAAGCATGTTTTTTTTAACACTTCAAGCAAGAGTTGTTCTGCCTTCGACATGTCATCATAGTAAAATGGCACTATTTTATATACAGGCCATTGTGTGCTCTAGTGTAGAGGTGCTAGACATTTTGTATGTGTGATTCAAAGTATCATTGTACAGATTTCTTGAACCCCTAATGCAAATTTTCCATTATTATTGAACCTGACACCAACATTAAAGTTTTTGTATTCTGTTAGGATGATTAAATGTTTAGTATGTCCACACAATTGAGCCTTTGGACCTTCATAAATTAACGGTGTTTTGACTTTAAAGGCTAAGTTCACGTTTGAAAAAAAAAATAATAATTGTCCATGTTTTTGAAGATAGAAAATTGTGCATTTTTTTTTTCAAGAGCATGCAGAGTGCTCAGTGGATCACAAGTGCAATGTCAGGCTTCTGCAGTTTCTTCCGACAGATCTAAGTCTGTACATTCGTACAGGCTGTCAGTTTCAGAGCTGCAGGAAGAGTGAATTGACTATGACTGCCCTCATCAGCACCTTTAGTCCATTGAAAACTATAAGCTGTCTGCCAGGGAGATTCTGTGGCACAGGCAGAAAGTTAAGTAGATACTGCCTTCTTTTACAAGTAGGACTCGGTTGCACAGCAGCAGGGTTGCTTTAATAAAACATTGTACCTAAATGGCAACTCAGCCGCCTTCCTTTGTCCGGAGGCCCCAATATATAAGGTATAGTATGGAACATTATGTAAATCTCTGACTTTTGTGCTTCTATGGACCAAACCCAATAAAAGAAAAGTACCAAAAACTAATGCTAGAGCTTTATTCCCTTAGAAACTTTAAAAACAAAAACATATGCCATGGTACATTAAAATGTGCCAGACACTCTTTTGCCTAACACATCTTACTCTAGCATAGTACATGTTTGTAACATATTGCAGTCTTCCTAAGGTGATAAATCTCCAGTCTGTTTGTTCATACTTCTCCTTTTGATTATTTTCTTTTATTGTGTTTGGTCCGTAGAAATCCAAAAGTCATTGCTTTACTTGGTGATCTATATTGTATCAATTTTATAATAAAAGGAGAGTTGCCAAGTAGGAGAAAAGGAGTCTCCCAGTCCACCTCCAGCTGGCCACAATTAGCCCAGAACTCACAATATCTGAAGTTTGCAATGTTTACCTTTTACTGTTTTTTTTATGTGAAATTAATGATTTTTTTTCGTTTGTTTTTAGCCTGCATGTCAAAGTTTTCTGCTGGTTGCATCTATTATTATCCCTCATTCCACCACAAGCACAATACAGCCCAGGCTAATAAACTAAAACAAGATCTTGATCATTATCTCACTAGGAAGATTGGATTTGAAGCAGTTATGAGAATACGTTGTACAAAAGGTATGTAAACTGCTTTGTTTATAAGAACGTAATTTCTTTCTGTGTCACTAAACGTACTAATTGCCTGTTTCTGGACAGTTATTTAAAGTACTAAAGACCAAAACAGCCAGGTAGCTAGCACTTCCAGGAACTCAGAAATGGCATCTTACTATGTGATTACATGTGGCAGCACCCCATGGTTAGGAGATCAGTATGTGTGTGTGTGTGTATGTATATATATATATATATATATATATATATATATATATATATATATATATATATATATATATATATATATATATATATGAAGTTTATTTGAAAACAAAGTGATCTAAAATGTTTGATCCATCTCCTTTTTTGTTTGGTTTTGATGATGTCACAAATTGACATTTGATAATATTTCTTTATCTGCAGGCCTCTCAATACACACCTTTCATGGGAATTTCTTTGTGCGTTCTACGGATCTGTTGTCTCTCGCTAACATTAATGAAGATGCAGGGTTTGCAGTGCAAATGTCCATAGATGAAAGTCTGACAGATACATCGCTGGCATGCTTTCAAGTTGCTCTTCTTTATACATCTAGCAAAGGTAATTCTTCACAAAGGGGAAACTATGAAAATTCAGCTTGCAGAAATTGCATTGTTACGAGGATGTAAAGATGGGCTGTTTTTAAAGTAGCCTTTTTTTTTTGCTGTGTGTGCTTCAACCCAATCAGTCCTGAAATGTTTTGCATTTTAAAATCTGGAAACACTGTCTACCTGAGGAATGGTCCTAATGTATTCTGGCATGCACTTTGTGCTGTTACCAGGCTGTTTTATTATATTTCTATGTTTGCTAGTAACCTTATTTTCTGAATAACTTAGAATCTGAGTTTCTGATGGGAGTTTTACATTGTAGAGCCCAGTGTAATGATTGTGCATACTAGGCACAGGAATAGCTGTGTGTGTAGCAGCCATTTTTGTCCACATCACAAGTCTCCTGTGACATTTTTTTCAAGAGAAGACATAGCACTGTGACCTGTCTCCCTCAGTCCTTCAGTTTATACAATACACAAACTGTTATATGATGCTAGGACCTTGTTATCAATCTATTTATTGGGCACCCAGACCTCTCCATTACCCAATCCACAGTTTCAGCATGGAAACCCTAATAAAACTGTCACCCTCTAAGTTGAGCAATCCAGAGAACTAACAGATATCCGGTCGTAAATAGCTCAGCTGATGGGAATAGCCAATCCACATTTCTGCTAGAATGGTTAGCAGCCAAGATTCTAAAACTTCAGCATATTTCATAACTCATGAAAGAATGACAGTACAGCCAGAATATACAACCCCTGGCAAAAAGTATGGGATCACCACTCTTGGAAAATGTTTATTCAATTGTTTAATTGTGTAGAAAAAAACAATCACAAACATGCCTCAAAACTATTATCATTTAACATTCCAGTCTTCTGGCTTAAAAAAAAAATTAAAAAAAAAAAAAACTGTAGTCAATTGCAACTGTTTTTTCCAGATCAAACAGAGGAAAAAAATATGGAATCACTCAGTTCTGGGGAAAATATTATGGACTCACCATGTACTTTGTAGTTCTAAAACAAACATCTGCATCAGATTACATCTGCTAATTAGTCTGCAGTTAAAGAGTGCTTGCACACCTTGGTGAGCTGTTGCACCAAGCTGATTGACATGAGTCATGGATGCAACACAAGATAATGTTGAAACAAAGGAGAGGATTATAAAACTTATTCAAGAAGGTAAATTATCAGCTGTGTCTAAAATCTAGACCAAGTACAAATCAAATGGGAAGGTTGTAAAAGGGAAGCATACTGATAGACCAAGTAAGACATCAAATCCATCAAATTAGAAAACTTAAAGCAATATGCCTTGAAAACCGAAAATGCACAACAAAACAAATGGTCGGAAACTGAAGTCAATGTCTGTGACCAAACTGTAAGACATCACCTTAAAGAAATGGGATTTACACACAGAAAAACCAAACAAAAACCATCATTAACACCTAAACATAAAAAAAAGGCTGCAGTGGGCTAAAGAAAAGAAATCACAGAGTGTGGATGACATGATGAAAGTGATATTCAGTGATGAATCACAAATCTGCATTGGGCAGGGTGATGATGCTGGAACTTTTGTTTGGTGTTGTTCCATTGAAATGTATAAAGACCACTGCCTGAAGAATATATGCAAATTTCCACAATCATTGATGATATGGGGTTGTATGTCAAGTAAAGGTACGGGGGAGATGACATTCATTAAATCTTCAATAAAATCTATGGTGGAAATTAAAGAAAATGGTCCATGAGAAGGGTCCAACCTGCCAAGCTGATCTGGCAACTGCAATAAGAGAAAGTTGGAGCTGGACTGATGACAAATACTGTTTTGTCGATAGTTAAATCTATGCCTAAGAGAATTCCAGCTGTTATAAAAGCCAGAGGTGCAACAAAGTACTAGTGGTGTACTATAGTGTGTTGTTTTTTTTTTTTTTTTTTTTTTTTTTTTTCATGATTCCACAATATTTTCCTCAGAATTGAGTGATTCCATATTTTTTCCTCTGCTTGATCTGCAAAAAATAGTTGCAACTGACTACAGTTTTATTTATTTATTTAGTGTTTCTTAAAGCCAGAAGGTCAGAATGTTAAATAGTTTTGAGGCATGTCTATAATTCGTTTTTTTTTCTACACAATTAAACAATTGAATGAACGTCTTCCAAGCATGGTGATTCCATACTTTTTGCCAGTGATTGTAAACATATTTACCTCCCTCAGTTATGGAGTAGCATTTTGGTTCCAAACACCTCTATGCTAGGAGGTACCAGAGTGGATTAGGCCTCCACACTCCACCTATGAGAAATAGATATCCAAGATCTGTCATATATTTTCAAACTAATTTCATTCTGGACGATAATCTGCATGGTAGCAGTCTGTAAATGCTAGGTATTCAGAAATATGAATACTTATAAGAAACTGTATTTGGGACTTGGTCATAAACGTGGTTGCCTCCCAGCCATCACCCCTTAAACCAGATGATTGGTCAAATGGTCTCTGTCAACACTCTTTTGCTACCACAGAAAAAGGGAATGTCAGGATATTTTGACTGGCTCTCGTTTTAACATCAACCAAGGAACATATAACTGGACCGGAGAGAGCCACTGTACCATTTTTGCTTGATCAATTGGACTCTGCTAAAACCAAGGGATTTGCAAATATTCATTTTCAACTCCTTTTTATTTCTCTGTTGTTTTATTGTCTCTGTTAATGTCACACCTTTTTTTCTTTAAATATTTTATTTGCACCATTTTGACCTTTTCATTATTACATCTGATTTTGAAAAGTGTTAAATCTGTCCGTAAGGGTTTTAATGCAAACGAAAAGAATCCATGTCTCTTGAAGAGTGCTACTGTATATGATACATTTCTGAATATACATGTCTGTGGGGACAGTGCATGTTGCAGACGTTTATTTTTCATATTTGTTCTTGCTAAGATTGTGAGTTTCCTCCTTCTCAGTCAGTAGATGGTGCTGGTAGCTTAACCACTACAAGTCCAGACACTGTCACCCCTTTCCAGTCCAGGCCAATTTTTAGCTTTCAGCACTATCACGCTTTAAATGACAATTACTCAGTCATGCAACACTGTACCAATATGATATTTTTATCCTTTTTTTGAGACAGATTGAGCTTTCTTTTGGTGGTATTCGATCACCACTGGGTTTTTTATTTTTTGCAATACAAATGAAATACCGAAAATTTTGAAATAAAAACATTTTTTGCTTAGGTTTTTGTTATAAAATTTTGCAAATTATTTTTCTTCATAAATTTTAGGCTAAAATGTATTCTGCTACATTTTTGGGATAAAATAAATCCAAAACAGTATTTATTATTTAGTCTGTGTAAAAGATTTAGAGCCTACAAACTATGGGATATATATTTGAAAATTGATCAGTTGGGACCCTAAAATGCCGGATGCTGGTATGGCATATGGCAGCGATCAGGACACTGGTATGGGGTATGGCGGTGATCAGGACATTAGCATGAGGTATGGTGGTGATCAGGATGCTGGTATGACAGTAGTCAGAAGGCTGGTATGGGGCTTGGTGGTGATCAGGATGCTGGTATAGGGTATGGCAATGATCAGGACACTGATATGGGGTATGGCGGTGATCAGGATGCTGGTATGATGTATGGCGGTGATCTGGGTGCTGGTATATGGGGTATGGCGCTGATCAGGATGCTGGTATGGCATATGGGGTGATTAGGATGTTGCTATGGGGTGTGGTGGTGAACTGGATGCTGGTATGGAGGTGATCAGGGCGCTGGTACGGGGTATGGCGGTGATCAGGGCGCTGGTACGGGGTATGGCGGTGATCAGGGCGCTGGTACGGGGTATGGCGGTGATCAGGGCGCTGGTACGGGGGTATGGCGGTGATCAGGGCGCTGGTACGGGGTATGGCGGTGATCAGGGCGCTGGTACGGGGTATGGCGGTGATCAGGGCGCTGGTACGAAGTATGGCGGTGATCAGGGCGCTGCTACGGGGCATGGCGGTGATCAAGATGCTGGTACGGGGTATTGCAGTGATCAGGGTGCTGGTACGGTGTATGGCGGATATCAGGGCTCTGGTACGGTGTATGGCGGTGATCAGGGTGCTGGTATGGCGTATGGAGGTGATCAGGGCGCTGTTATGGCAGAGATCAGGGTGTTGGTTTGGGGTATGGTGTTTTTGTGTATACGGAGACAGGTGATGGGTTGGCTGCATGTTTTATTATGCTTACACTGGGGCAGCAATCAGGGACACAGGGTGGCTGACAGGCTGCTGTACACTCATACACTGCAGGATCGCTTCTCTTTGCTCTCACACTGAGAGCAGAGAAAAGTGATCTTTACTTTCCCTTTCCATTGTTTATTATGCATGTGCTGTGATTACAGCATGTGATTGCCCGGACACAGCAGTAATGTGATCCCGCGCAGAAGCCATCAATGCAGGCTGACGTACAGGTATGTTAGCCCTCATCGGCAAAGCTTTCCGTCTGCCGTCTATGTACAATAGGCGGACGGGAAGAGGTTAAAGAGTTAATTGCTGAATTAACGTAACCCAGTAACAAGCGCTGTCAGTCTGCTGGAACCTACAGTGAGGTCTATAAATATTGGGACATCGACACAATTCTAACATTTTTGGCTCTATACACCACCAGAATGGATTTGAAATGAAACGAACAAGATGTGCTTTAACTGCAGACTGTCAGCTTTAATTTGAGGGTATTTACATCCAAATCAGGTGAACGGTGTAGGAATTACAACAGTTTGCAAATGTGCCTCCCACTTGTTAAGGGACCAAAAGTAATGGGACAATTGGCTTCTCAGCTGTTCCATGACCAGGTGTGTGTTATTCCCTCATTATCCCAATTACAATGAGCAGATAAAAGGTCCAGAGTTCATTTCAAGTGTGCTATTTGCATTTGGAATCTGTTGCTGTCAACTCTCAAGATGAGATCCAAAGAGCTGTCACTATCAGTGAAGCAAGCCATCATTAGGCTGAAAAAAACAAAACAAACCCATCAGAGAGATAGCAAAAACATTAGGCGTGGCCAAAAACAACTGTTTGGAGCATTCTTAAAAAGAAGGAACGCACCGGTGAGCTCAGCAACACCAAAAGACCCGGAAAACCACGGAAAACAACTGTGGTGGATGACCGAAGAATTCTTTCCCTGGTGAAGAAAACACCCTTCACAGCAGTTGACCAGATCAAGAACACTCTCCAGGAGGTAGGTGTATGTGTGTCAAAGTCAACAATCAAGAGAAGACTTCACCAGAGTGAATACAGAGGGTTCACCACAAGATGGAAACCATTGGTGAGCCTCAAAAACAGGAAGGGCAGATTAGAGTTTGCCAAACGACATCTAAAAAAGCCTTCACAGTTCTGGAACAACATCCTATGGACAGATGAGACCAAGATCAACTTCTACCAGAGTGATGGGAAGAGAAGAGTATGGAGAAGGAAAGGAACTGCTCATGATCCTAAGCATACCACCTCATCAGTGAAGCATGGTGGTGGTAGTGTCATAGCGTGGGCATGTATGGCTGCCAATGGAACTGGTTCTCTTGTATTTATTGATGATGTGACTGCTGACAAAAGCAGCAGGATGAATTCTGAAGTGTTTCGGGCAATATTATCTGCTCATATTCAGCCAAATGCTTCAGAACTCATTGGACACCGATTCACAGTGCAGATGGACAATGACCCAAAGCATACTGCAAAAGCAACCAAAGAGTTTTTTAAGAGAAAGAAGTGGAATGTTATGCAATGGCCAAGTTAATCACCTGACCTGAATCCGATTGAGCATGCATTTCACTTGCTGAAGACAAAACTGAAGGGAAAATGCCCCAAGAACAAGCAGGAACTGAAGACAGTTGCAGTAGAGGCCTGGCAGAGCATCACCAGGGATGAAACCCAGCGTCTGGTGATGTCTATGCGTTCCAGACTTCAGACTGTAATTGACTGCAAAGGATTTGCAACCAAGTATTAAAAAGTGAAAGTTTGATTTATGATTATTATTCTGTCCCATTACTTTTGGTCCCTTAACAAGTGGGAGGCACATATGCAAACTGTTGTAATTCCTACACCGTTCACCTGATTTGGATGTAAATACCCTCAAATTAAAGCTGACAGTCTGCAGTTAAAGCACATCTTGTTTGTATCATTTTAAAACCATTGTGGTGGTGTATAGAGCCAAAAATGTTAGAATTGTGTCGATCTCCCAATATTTATGCACCTGACTGTAGATTGTGGCCCCATGAGCTGGAAAATCTTTTTGTAGGGTGCAGCTGAGAGTGGCATTGTTGCGTAAGTGGTGTGAGATTGACCAGTCCTTTGTCATGAGTTGGGGAAAAGGGCAAGGGTCGGGCACCGCGTTCGTCACACATACAAATTTATCAAGTCACTGAAGTGAGGCATTGCTGAATTAATATTATTATTACTATACAGGATTTATATAGTGCCAACAGTTTATGCAGCACTTTACAATGTAAAGGGGGACAGTACATTTACAATACAGTTCAATACACAAGGAATTGGAGGTTCCTGCTCATGGAGCTTACAAACTAATTAGGTTCAGAATCCTGAGATGCTTACATGGCACAGTGTTGTCTGATTTTTTTTTTTTTCCAGATTTGCTTATCAGATATATGACAGTTCATAGATAGCAAATATATATTTATCTTTTGAATAAATCTATTAATGTTTAATATAAGTGAAACTTATTTTTTGGTAAACAGGTCAGCGAAGGATACGTGTGCATACATTATGCTTGCCAGTGGTAAATTCATTGCCAGATGTGTTTGCTGGAGCAGATGTACAGGCTATTACCAGCCTTTTGGCAAACATGGGTAAGTTTCAATTCATGTTAAATTGTACATGACGTGCCATCTTTGTGGGGTTTTTTTTTAAACATCACCACTAGAGGTCTTTAGAGACTTAGTTAGGATGTCAAAAACCGTGTTACATAATTTGGCCTCATGCACACAGGGTGTCTGTTTAGCCCAGCAATGGGCAAACTACGGCCCGCGGGCCGTATACGGCCCGGCGGACCTTTTAATCCGGCCCGCAGAGCTAGGCTCCTCTCACAGTCCGCCCTGAAGATCGGTGTAGCATGAAAATCTGTCTCCTATGAGGATCTGTCCCCCTCGACGTATCTGCGCATGTGCCGGAGATCGCCGATCGGCTGCTAATGCCTGAAACTGGCACATGCGCAGATACGTCGAGGGGGACAGATCCTCATAGGAGACAGATTTTCATGCTACACCGGAACGGCGCGGGAACACGGCGAGAGGAACGCGCGGAGCAAAGGTAAGTGAATTGACACAGGGGGGACTTGGGGACTTAATATGGGGAATGAATTACTATAGGGGGGATGAATTACTATAGGGGGGATGAATTACTATGTGGGGGATGAATTACTATATGGGGGATTAATTACTATGGGGGATGAATTACTATATGGGGGATGAATTACTATGGGGGAAGAATTACTATGGGGGATGAATTACTATATGGGGATGAATTACTATATGGGGGATGAATTACTATGGGGGATGATTACTATAGGGGGGATGAATTACTATAGGGGGGATGAATTACTATAGGGGGGATGAATTACTATATGGGGGATGAATTACTATATTGGGGATGAATTACTACGGGGGATGAATTACTATATGGGGGATGAATTACTATGGGGGATGAATTACTATATGGGGGATTAATTACTATGCTTACTATGGGGGAATATTACCATACTTACTATGGATGACACATACACATCATTCATCTACTCTTGGTCCGGCCCCCGGGTCCAATATATGAACCCATTGCGGCCCTCAAGTCAAAAAGTTTGCCCACCCCTGGTTTAGCCCCTTCTGGGCGCCTTTTCCCCTGGTAGCAGAAATGCTGTTAAAAGTACGTGGTAAAAGCCACACATTACTCGTTTAAGTTCATAAAGCTTTTGAGCATTAAGGAATTCCATTAACCACAATATTCAATTAGTCTGCCCATTTAAATGCATTAGCGCCCATACATCTACTGTTTAGGCACATTTGGCATTTTTTCTGCTCTTCATCTCCTCCTCTAAATGTGCTTTTGGTGGAGTCTTTTGTCCAGCCTGTAAAATCTCCTCTACTAATACGCCTGTAAACTCCTGTGTGTGCATGGACACATAGGCTTATATAGAGGTGGTTTTACAGGCTGAAATAAAGAACGTCAAATCCCTGTAAAGGTGGTGTTTTTTTTAAGCCTAATGTGCATGATACCTTACACAAATGTTGTGAAAGAGCTGTTTTAAGTCTATTGAGGGCTGTTATTTTCCCATAGAAATAAATATTACATTTTATGTCTGAAAATTTTTGTTTTGGAGCAAAGGTTATGCCTTGCCACATTTTGCCAGGTGATCCAGGTTGTTTTTGAATCAGGTTTGTGGGGAGCAGAAGTATATTAACCTCTTCACGCCTAAGGGTAAAACAAATCTAAATGCCTAAGCACAATTTTGCAACATTGACATGTGTTAGTAAAACTGTACATATCATCACAACTACTTTGTACATCCAGGTGGATTATACCGTGTTTTTTTTTTCAGGACAAATTGGGCTTTCATTTGGTGGTAAATGGTAATGGATATCTCCTGATTTTTTTTTTTTATTATCAAATGAAAACTGGCCCAAAATACTAAAAAAAAAATCTTTTTTTTTTTATTTAACTGTGCTCTTCTTGTTACTACCATAACCTACCATCAAAGTACAACCCAAAATAAATTTTACAGCTCTTGATGATCGCAGTGATACCATATATGTGTATGTTATTTGTTGTTTGTACCTGTAGTACAGCCCAGAAACAATAGTGCGCATTTTGTTTTGTTTTTTACCTAAAACACACTGACACTAAATTTAAAAAAAAAAAAAATCCTGACCTTTTGACCTTGACCCTGACCTAGACCCAAACACCCTGGCACTGAACTAGATCAAACCTTGATCTAGGTATTTTTTCTTATCTTTTTTAATATTTTTATCTTTTTTTTTTTTTTTAAACAAACATTTTTTTCTTCCCTCTATGCCAGAGTTAGAGAGATACAATGTATTTCTCTCCTCTCTTCATAGAGAAAAAAAAAACCAAGGGGGCCTGGCTGTACAGTGACTGATCCCTGTGATAGCCAATCAGAGGCTATCACAGTGATCGTGTGACCTGGAATCGGGAGTCCCGGGTCCCGACCGTTAGAACAGGACCCGGGGCTCTCAGTGATATCCCGGTCTTTGTGCTGGAAGCGCACTGTGCAGCGCGCTCCCAACAGAAAGACAGGTACGCAAATATGCGGCCCCACGGAAAAAAGCCCAGTTCTGTGAGGCCGCATATTTGTGTTACGTCGGCGTCATGGGATTAAGAACTGAATAGTTCAAGGGGGTGTTGCCACTGCACAGGGATCACTATACTTCTCACAGGTTTACAAGAATACCTGACAGTGGTTTCCTTTGCTCAGAAGTTCAGACTCATAAGAAACCCAACCCCAATTGACTGGAAGTGTTCATGTGCTTTCTTTCTTTATGTAGAGTCGGGGAAGGGGAAACTGTAGCGCTAAAGATGGCATGACCGGTTTTTTGTTTTTGGTGTCCTCCAGCATAGTGGTAATGATATGCAAAACCTCCAATCTTATAGCAAACATGTAATTAGATAAAACAGTGTTAAAAACATAATCATACAGGTAAATGCACTATATGCTAAAAGTGCATATTGTACGTTTTCGGTATGGTGTTCATTCAAAGCCATCCCAACTGCCCATCAAATGTAGACTTACTGAAATTTGGAGCCAACCCTTGGATATTGAGATGACTAGAGCTTGTATGGCAGCTAAGGCAATCTAGCTGCTCAGGAAGTGCAAATGTTATCTCATGAGTGAGTTTTTTTTTTTTTTTAACAATAAATTGTGTAGATTAAAAACGTTGCAGAAAACCTGATCATACTGGAATACTGGAATGTAAGAGATGCTGCTTACATTACAAATTAGGGAGAGTGTAATGTACAAAAAAGTGAGCCCCTTTGCCCTCCTGCTTAAAAAAACACATCAATACTCTCTATGGTTGTTTTACCATCACTTTGAATACTGCAAATGTTTACCTAATGGCGATAGAGGGATTTCCAGGCTAAGGGGTTAGAGTGTCAGAACCCAAGTAATGATCTTTATTGTGATATACCCAGTATGCTCGCATCCTGTTCATCTGACCATGACTAGGTGCAGTAAGTAGTCCATCTATTTTGTAGTCATACATTGCATTTGATTGAGCTATGGTAGGTTAGAACTGTTTTTTTTTTTATATATTTCAATATTTTTATTGAAAAACTGTAGAAAGTATTATACAGAAATATAGGAAACATAGCCTACCAACATGGTGAGTTGTGGCAAACAAACAGATTCATAGAATATATAAGCACATAAGAATACATCAACCAATGATGTTGTAAACAAGAGGACACAGCCCCAATAGGGTAGCACATATTCCATCGGTCAGTAAACATGGGCAGTTTCAGATAGCCATCTGACAAAATAAAAAAAAAAAGAAAAAATTGAACAGAAGAGTAAAAGAAGAGCATAAAGACTATAACGGGGGAAAAAAAACAAAAAGAGAAGAGGGCCAGCCATAAGTCTATTAGATAATAGAGATATACCTAATCCATCGTTCCCATATGACCTCAAATTTAGAAGTACTATTATTAACGATACTCGTAAGTTTATCATTTATCATAATCCAATTAAGTTTCTGTTTGACCAAGTCTAGCGGAATTGACTGTCTCCAACATCTACCTATAGTAATTCGTGATGCCAACAAAAGATAAAGGATTAATTCAACTGATTTCTTTGGCATATCAGTGGGCAACAGATGAAATAAGCCTACTTCCGGTGATCTACGAATATTAATTCCCGTTACCGAATAAATGAAGTTTTGTTTTTGTTTTTGTTTTTTTTAAATCTAGCTGTAGACCGATCCATATCATCCAGTATTTCTGATGCAAGAGATGCCTTAGTGAATGCTGTAGTGGATTCTTTGTTGTCATACAATTCCACACTTTCAAGTCTACAGCCATCTGCACTGATAGCACCCAATTCTCTTAAGCTATTTCCACTCTATATACTGGCTCTTCTAAAGCAAGTAAGTAAATTCATTACTTTCTCACTTTGTGTGTTGGACATAAAATATTCAGTTCTGCCAACTTAGAGAAAACAATGGAGTTGTCTATGAAGGGCAAGTGAATTAGGGGCTCATTCTGAGCAAATGTTTGTGGGTTTTTTTTAAGGGTAAGTTCACCTTTTGTAACATGTTACACCCATATTCAGGATATAACTTGTTACAAATGCATCGGCTCCCACACCCCCACAAGTCCCCATTTTGACAGCAAGCCTGAGATCTTCTCCTCCTGTCACAAACTAAAACAAATGCTCCTGTGCCTTGCTCCACCCACCCTCCACCCGTGTCATTCATTCACAGTGTTCTGTGAATGGGAAAACTACAAATCCCAACAGCCTTTGCGGCTGTTGGCTTTTAGTTCTTAATGAACTACCAGAGTGCTGCTGATCGCTCTAGGTAGTTCATTGAGCTTCCTGTCAGAGTGTAAATGCCTGCTTGTATGGGAGGTATGGGCAGACAGATACACAGACAGTCTGTAGGACCATGCCATTACACCCATGATCTGCTGATCATGAGTGCAATGCATTACAGGTCTTTAACAAAAAAAAAAAAAAAACATATTTTTTTACCTGCAAAAGAAATGTGCATTTTTTTTTTTTCTTTTTGTTAAAGTGAGCTTACCCTTTAAACCTACCATTTCTGTTTGCAATTACATTTGACCAGCTCTAGCAAATGTCTGCTGAAGTAAAAAAAAAAAAATCACAGCTGTTAAACATTTGAAGTCCATTGATAAACAAGCTGGTAGGCTTGATCTGAATAAGCATGTAGTTCTCTACCCCTTGTTTTATTTCTGAATAGGCTTCTGCAATATACAGCGGTTAAAGTAAGTATTCAACACGTCACCAATTCTCTCAGTAAATAGGTGCTATTGACATGAAATTTTCACCCCACATGTCTGTAACAATCCATGCATACAAAGAAACCAAAACAAGTTTGGAATTGAGTTATGTGTAATACAATGGAATGACACAAGGAAAAAGTATTGAACACTTGAAGAAAGTGAGGTGCACAAAGGCATGGAAAGCGAAGACACCAGCTGAAATATATCAGTAATTAGAAAGCAATCCTGCCCCTTGCCAGTGCAAATTAATATCAGTTGGTTCAGGCTCAACTGATGGCTTATAAAAAGGTGTATCGTTATCAAGGTGTCACACAAGAAACATCACTTGATGGGTAAAATCAAAGAGCTCTCAAGACCTTCACAACCTTATTGTTGCAAAACATACTGAAGGCATTGGTTACAGAAGGATTTCTAAACTTCTGAATGTTCCAGTGAATACTGGGGCCATAAACTATAAGCGGAAAGAACATCATTTCACCATAAACCAGCCACGACCAGGTGCTCCTTGCAAGATTTCTGAGAGGAGCTTCAGAAAGACCTGGAATAAGCAGGTACAATTGTTTCAAAGAAAACAATAAGTAATGCAGTCAACCACTATGGCCTGTATGCACGCTCACCACGCAAGACTCCATTGCTGAAGAAAAAGCATGTTGAAGCTCATTTCAAGTTTGCTGCACAACATTTAAAGAAGCCTGTGAACTGGGAGAATATTGTCTGGTCAGAGGAAACCAAAATTGAATTCTTTGGATGCCATAATACACACCATGTTTGGAGGTCAAATGGCACTGCACGTCACCCCAAAAACACCATAGCAGCAATGAGGTTTGGAGGTGGGAACATCATGGTGTGGGGCTGTTTTTCAGCATACAGTACTGGCAACCTTCATATCATTGAAAGAAGGATGAATGGAAAAATGTACCAAGACATTATTGATAAAAATTTGCTGCGATCTACCAGGGTGATGAAGATGAAACAAGGGTGGACATTTCAGCAAGAAAATGATCCCAGACATAAAGCCAAGGAAACTCTCAATTGGTTTCAAAGAAAGAAATTAAAGCTGCTAGAATGGCCCAGCCAATCACCTGACTTGAATCTAATAGAATATCTATGGAAAGGACTAAAGATCAGGGTTCATAGAAGAGGAGCCTCCAAGATTTGAAGACTTTGTGGAAGAATGGGCCAAAATGACACCTGAACAATGCATGCGACTAGTTTCTCCATACAGGAGGCATCTTGAAGCTGCCATTACCAACAAAGGATTTTGAATGAAGTATTAAATACATTTCAGTTATCGTTTGTTTTCAATACGTTTGCCCTATGTTATTCCTTTCTATTATACAACTTCATTTCTGAACTTATTTGTTTTGGTTTCTTTGTATGGATTGCATGGGTTGTCTGGTGAAAATTTCATGTCAATAGCACCTTTATAAATATATTTATTGAGAAAAACGGTGACGTGTTCAATACTTCTTTTACCTGCTGTATAAAACAAGGCTCATTTGAAAAAGAAATCAAGCTTCTTACCACTAGAGGGAGACATGTACTATACAGACTAATAGAAAAGATTTACCAGTTCAACTCTGCCAGCGTGAAGAAAGGTCCAACATGTTACATTGGTCTCTGGACTAATGTTTGATTTCTGATGAATGCCTGTGTAATTAAATAATTTTATTTACTCAACAACTGTATTCTGATTTTTTTTTTTTACATATATAAAGGCATACTTCTTTAGAAAGGGGACTTTCACTGCATCATATATAATTGAACTACAACTGTTTAAAATATAATTTTAGTTATATTGTAAAGCGCTGAGCAAAATGTTGGCGCTATATAAATCCTGTATAAATAATAATTTATTTTGTATCTTAAAATGAATGAAAAAAGATACCAAACATGAACTGACAACATGGTATGTACATCAGTATCAATGACAAAGGACAACTGTCTAAACCCTGGTTCATGCCGGTGCGACTTGTGCGATTTGACAGTTCCAAACTGCATGACAATTCGCCCCCTATTTGTGTCCATGGAACCATTCAATCGGTGCGACTCCGACTTTGCGGTGCAGCACCGAATTTGAAAAAAAGGTTCTTGCACTATTTTTGGTGATTTCATGTGCAACTTGCATAGACATCTGTGCATGAAGCCACACAGATTTTAGGCAAGCTGTACATGAAATTGCACTGACCAGCACCTTTCAAATCTCATGATTTCAAAGACCCATTCAGTGTAATCCAGGGCTAAGAAGGAGGGTTTTTTTCCTGACATTGGAAAGATATTCTCCCACTTCCAGTTGAGTCTACAGGAGAGGAAGTGAAGGAAAAACTCACCAATCAGACACAGATGGCATAAAATCTGACATCTGTCTTAATCCTTCCATAATCTGATATAAAAAAAAAAAAAAAGTTCTGGCTCTAGATATACTTTAAAGTGATTCTAAAGTTTTTTGGGTTTTCTTTAAAGAAAAAAAATAACAAATATGTCTTTACTCACCTCCTGTGTGCAGTGGTTTTGCACAGACCAGCCTGGATCCTCCTTTTCTCGGATCCCCCGCAGGCTCTCCTGGCCCCTCCCTCCTCTCTGGTGCCTGCATTGCAAGCAGCTTGTTATGGGGGCACCCGCTGCTCCGTGTGTTGATTCACACACAGAGCCACGGTCAGCCCTGCCTCCTCTCCTCATTGGCTCACTGGCTGTGATTGACAGCAGTAGGGGCCAATGCCTCCTGCTTCTGTCTCAGCCAATGAGAAGTGGCAGTCCCGGGATAGCCGAGACTACAGTGCACATTGCTGGATCGAGAGGCGGCTTAGGGGGGAATGCTGCACACAGAAGGTTTTTTCACTGTCATGCATAGAATGCATGAAGGTAAAAAAAACCTTGAGCCTTTAGAACAACTAAATAATTTTAAGTTGAAATACACTATACAAAAGCTGTATAGCTATGGAAATGTGATACTTAGCACATGCTTTCAGTTAGACAAGGCTAGGATGTTCTGTAATTTATACAAATGGAGAGTCAGAGATTGGGCTGTCTTTAGAGAATCTTCATTATGATTGAGAGTCATTAAAGAGAACAATTGTATTTGTACTGTCTTTGTAGAAAGCTTTTAGGACTGGCACCAGCACACGTCTGGATGATCGAGTCTTTGCAATGTGCCAGATAAAATACCAGCCACTAGCTCATCTGATGAAAATGATTCACCCCAGCCTCTACAGAATAGACAGGCTCACTGATGAGGTATGAAAATATCTGCATGAAATATTAGGCCATTTGCAGGAATGTTTTGTGTGCTGTGCAATCTTTCACTGCAATTATGCTGCTTTTTTTGTACTTTTTAATCACGGCCAAAACCCTTTGGGCACAAGGTACATTTAGTTGCACTAGCTTTTGTTCCTGTGACTTCCATCAGTAAATTATGTTTCACTTGAACTGTGTACTGTGACAGCTGACTTGTTATGATTATTACCCTGGCATGGACATTATAAAATGCTTGTCCATTTACCTACTCTCTTCATTTTTATGCAGTGCTCACACTCTAGGTGCTTAGTCATATTTTTATTATGTTAACCCTTCCGACATTTTGGCCTTGCTCCATTGTTTAAAGCATTATTTCCTATATTTATTTCCAGTGCTAGATTTCCATCATTGGAGCCTGTAGACACGCAACCTTTGGCACTCAAAAGAACTACCCTTAGCAAGATTCAGCACTGTTACAAAGAGCTATTTCTTGTTTTACTGGTTCTTAACTGGCTTAGCTTAATGTGATCATTTGTAAATAAGCCTATATGTGAGATGACTGTATTTCTGCTGATAAATGGTCGATGACGATACCTCTTTGAGGAAAAGCTGCCTCTTTTTTTGTTGCCACATAAAGACGAGAACCTATAATTCCTAATGGTAAATCCTGTCCTGTTTTATTATTAGGAAAACTGGAATGGAAATGTTTCATCTGCTTCCAGTCTTCACTAAGTTTTGTTTGCTTTGACAACACACCTTGAACCCTACGCTCTATGCCCTACATTTCAAAAAAACTATATGAGCTTTTACATTTTTCATCGCGTAAATTTTAATAGGGGTGCCAGTAAATGCGTGATGCATGCGTTTTTGTGTGCAAAGGACTCCTGTCCTACTGCAGAACTGCTCTCCTCCCCTTGCCAAGCCTAGGAAAGAAACTCCTGCAGCTTGATATATGTTCAAAAATGCTTGTAATACACCTAAATAAAACACTTCAAATAACAAGGAATATGCTCTGTTTAGGTGTGCATACAGACTGAAGGTGGTGTTTGTGTGCTATTCTGTCTTTTAGAATTTGTTTTTTTTTTTTTTTACCAGGGTGCTATACTTGTTAATGACCTGGCTGTACCACAGCCACCTCTACAGCACTTATCAGCAGAGAAGCTTGAAAGAGAAGGCGCCTTTCTCATGGATGCTGGTTCAGTATGTTTTTGGTTTTTTTGGTTTATATATTTAGTAAAGTATAGTGTAAAAAGATATTATGTTCAAACCACACTATTTTTTTTTTTTTTCTTTTTTTAGGATTACCTTCCCCTGTATTTTTACCAATCACTTCCTTTCTCGCCTTCCTCCACTTCATTACTCAATTTTTGTTTCTCTAATAAATTTTTCTTTCCCACCTTTTCTCCTTGTCCTCTTTACCCTCTATTTTGGATCTTTTTTTACTTTTTATCTTATCCTATATTTTTTATTCCCACTGTAAAAACTTCTCCTTTTTTCCCCAAATATGTTCACAGTTCCGTTTATTATGAGTCGCACATGCAGGCATTCATACCTGATCTTGCTGTACCTAGCTGATATCTTGTGATATTTTCCTCCCAGAGGCACTAAGTTCTACCTACGTGCAATTCCTCATTATGGCGTAGACTTACATGTCCGTTATCTATGACACTGTTTTTGTCTGTTGAAGATTCACTTCTTTGTACCTGGACTCATTGCTTACATATAATCTTGCATGATTTTGGGGACCCTCCTGCCCATGCTGTACCCTAATATTTTTACTCAGTACTACACACCGAATTCTTTCATTTGGCGTTTTCCTTTTTTGGCTCCTGTAAATTTGTGATACTAAAAATAATTGTTTTGGCTGTCTTACTAATTAATAGCAATGTGCAGAGGGCAGGAGAGGGTGAGTATGCTTAAGGGTTAATTTACCTTTACCAAAAAACTGTAGGTAAGGGACACTTGTAGACAAAACATATTGTTCAGCTTTGACTAAAGTTGAATAATGCCCTTGTTATGGGTGAAGGCCATTTACATTATAAGTATACTTAAAACACTCAACAATTTCCTACAAACTCCAGAATTTTGCACAAAATCCTCAAGGTCATTAATTGCCTCTCAGGGAAAGGGGAATACATGGCGTCCGTGAATATCCAAGATACCTATCTGCACGCTCCCATTTACCCACATCATTGGTGCTTCCTGCTCTTTGCAGTGGCAGACCTTCACAGCCAGTTTTAACACACTGCCCTTTGGACTATTATTTGCTGTGCTCAGATGTACTATGACTTTGCATGCTTGAGGTTGCTCCAAGTTGCTGAAGGAGGTTTCACCCTGGCACTAGGCACTGGATAAGGTGTTTCTTTCCTGAAGTACATGTACTTTTGTGGATAGCATTTGCAGCTGCACACATTTTGGATGATGAGCCATAAAATATATTAAAGTTTATCTTTTGTAACGTGTGGCACACCCGTATTCAGGGTGTAACATATTACTGTTGCAGCAGCCCCTACACCCCCCTGATTTTAAAAAGAAAAAAAAAACAACAAAAACAACATGGCTGTGTGGGCTTCTCCTACCTGGCAGCGTCAGAGTTCTGTGAATGGGAGAACTACAAGAACCAACAGCCTTTGCGGCTGACGGCTTGTAGTTCTCAACAAACTATTAGGGCACTGTTGAGTGTTCTAGGTAGTTTATTGATGTTTCCTATCATTCAGTAACTGCCTGTCTGTATGAGGTACTTGTAGACAGATACACTGTTAATCTGCAGGAGCCTGAGATTGCACCCTTAATCTGCTGATTGCAAGTTCAATGCTTTGCCGGCTCCTAAAAGTAAAAAAATAATAAATTCTGATTTTTTTTTTTTTTACCTGCAAAAAAGATTTATATTTTTTTTTTTTTATTTTTTTTTACAAAGGTGAACTTATCCTTTAAGAATAAATAAGTCATGTGGCTGGCAGTAGTGATTTTTATTTATTTTAATTTTTTTTACACAAAATGCACAGGTGAATGAACCAGTTTGCTCCTAGCTTTATAAAGGACTAGACTTGGTTTGAAACATTGCTGTGTAAAAAGGGAGCTTGACTAGTTTGTACTGCCATATTTTTATAATAAAGTTAAAGAGAGTATGGACAAAGACCTGTGTGCAGATGTACTACACCTTTGCAAGCAATGTCTTTGACCTGTATTAAATGTTTATTTCTGCAGGCTATTTTTCTGTGATTGAGAAGCTTGTTCCGTTCTTGCAGAAATAATTGTTTTGGCTGTCTTACTAATTAATAGCAATGTGCAGAGGCCAGGAGAGGGTGGGTATGCTTAAGGGTTAATTTACCTTTACCAAAAAACTGCAAGTAAGGGGCACCTATAGACAAAAACATATTGTTCAACTTTGACTAGAGTTGAATAATGCCCTTGTTAGGGGTGAAGGCCATTTACATTATAAGTATATTTAAACTCTCTACAATTTCCTTGGCCATGGCTATGACTAAGGCTTGTTGCCGAAACGCATAAGCCATTTTATATGCACATTTTACTCAATAAAGTTTATTATTTGGGAAGACAAGTGCTGGTTATACCAATTCTCATCATTCTGTTTTTGGTTTTCTCTTCAAAAACTGGCTTTGCCAAGCTGTCTGTCTGCAGAATAGTAATATAGATGCTTGTCCAGGGGAGAGATTCCGAAATGTATTGTCTGCCAACTCAGTAACACCAACTAAATTGTAAATATTACTATGGATGTGCTGCTGGGCATGCTAGTGGTTTTATCTTACAGAATCTTTTGCTTACTTTGGCCATAGTCAGTGCCCTCATAATCTGCATGGGCTCTCACTAGAGAAAACTGTAGATGACTTCAAATACAAAGCCTTACAATTCACAGGCAATAATATATATTTTGCTAGGGTGTCTAAAGATCAGCTTTGACCTTTTTTGGGTCCAGCTCTTTTTCAATACATAATATTATATAGGATTTATGGAACGCCAATAGTTTGCACAGAACTTACCAAAACAAAAAAAAAAAAAACAATTTAAGACACGAGGTTTAGCAGCCTGGGAGCTTTCAAACTTGACTGTTTAGTATTTACTGACTGTTTGGTGTGCGTACTTATGCACCTATTTATTTTTTATTATTATTTTTCAAGGCTCTGTACCTATGGATTGGAAGGAACTGTGATGCTGCCTTTTTAAAGGATGTTCTAGGTTTCCCAAACTATGCATCGGTGCCACCAAAAATGGTAAGAGTCACAGGCAATTATTGTGCCACCAGCATGTACAGCTTCACAGTGGAAAAACTTGCAGGTGGTATTGCTTTCACGATCTGATGGCAAGTAACACAAAGACTTTGGATTCACATTCAGAGTCCACAGTTAGTGCAGAGTTGAAAAGCTGATTTTGTTGAAATATGTGTTATTAAAGATTCTAGTCTATTTGATAGAGGACCTGATTAAAATGGACTTAAAGCTAAACTCTGGAGTGCTGCACGGGTCATTGCTTTAAAAAAAAAAAATCCCAGGGTGCATCTTTAAATTAAAAATGAATTATGCTATTACACTTTCCTGGCCCTTGTCATCCACTTTTTTAAATTATACTTTGTTTCTTGTGTATATTTGAAAACTTACAAGTTGATAAAGAATGAGTGATGTGGAATTTGTAAAGGCAGTGACAGCTTTATGGGTCCATGCACATTAGGGGCAGAAAAAAAATGGCAGAACCTCTGGCAGGAAAACAACATAAAAAATGCTCATAGTGGTTTGTATTGCACAAGAGTTTGAGAGTTTATGGGCATTGCTTTTTGTATGCGTTTTTTTCCAAAACATTCCCCTCTGCTCATTTTTCAGTGTACACTTGAAAATACAAAATGCTCCTAAACACCTCGTTTATGAGTGTTGTGCTCTTTTTTTGCCCAAAAGCTCCTCTCAAAAATGCAATTCTGAAAGGTTTTTTTTCCTGCATCAAAACACTCCTTTGAAAATACACCTGTAAACTCTCTAATGTGCATGGACACATAGGCTAATAAAGAGCTGCTTCAACAAACGGAAGAAAAAAACATAAAGTTCCTGTATAAGCAGCATTTTTTTATGCCCAGTGTGCGTGGACCCTAAATGATGGCATCTGCTGGTATGTGTTGTCTTGTATGACAGTTTGTGTCATTATAGCAATTCAGATTTGTGTGCAGATCTTTTAGGCTAGCCATACAGTCTTATGTTACAATATTCATTTGAAGGAATTAAATTTCTGCTTTTTAACAACAGGCAGATTTAAAAAACATCCATTGATGCAGTTACCTAGATATTAGATCAACCTTTTTTATCATCCCCACACTAGACTGGGAGAGGGAGGAACAGTCACACATTCCAGCACTACAGTACAGACAGAATTAAAAAAATTTAAATTAAGTAGGGAAATACTAGGACCTCCTAGACCCTTTTATTGTCTGTTTCCTTGCTGCAGATTTTTCCTCACTTCCTGTCTGGTAAAAGACTGTACTTAGGGAGATTTCCTCTCACTTTCTAACCGTACCCTGAATAGTAAAACCTGAAAGAGGTTCTGACCCTTCCCCATTCTTTCTGAAACTAAAATTAAAATTTGGTATAGATACACTTTATAATCATCAAGCTTTGTCATTTAGAGGTTCACATGGCACTTCACAAATTAGTTTTGTAGCAAAATGTTGAAATGCATTTGATTTTATTTCTCATGTTCCAATTTGAATTTCCCTTTGTGTAGAGCCAGCTTCCAGAGTTGGATACATTAGCATCAGAAAGAACAAGAAATTTTATTTCATGGCTCAAACAGGATAGTCCCTTAAATCCTGTTTTGCATGTACTAAAGTAAGTATACAAGGTTTTTTTTTATTCCACATATTATTTCTGTTAAATAAAGATGACTAATGTTCAATTATATACTTAGTTTTTTGTGTTTTTTTTTTTTAAGATGAAATGGCCCTTTCTGATATGAATTGTTGTTTTGCTCTTCATACATGATATCCGTCAGCTAGCACAGGACCTCCCTGGGAATAGTGTCTACTACCTAAACAGTTAGGACACCTTGTCACCAGCCCATTCAACAAATATCTTCACATAACATACGTGCATTTAACATATGTTATGCATGTTATTTACCTGTAACAGCCCCCTCCCCCCCCCCATGTAAACATCTAAGGCTTTATGTTTTATTTTGCTGAGAAATAACTTAGAAAAACACCTCCTAGCATTTCTGGCTGTGGCCATCTAGAGTAAGGACAGAGAATTTATGTAGTATGTTACTTCCTGGGAGCATGTTATTTCCTGAATCCTGTTAGCCCTTAGCTCAGGCATGCAGACAGAAGGGTGTGCTTAGCTGAGAAAAACCCTCCCCCCAACTGAAGACTCCTGGGATGTATGACATAATTTTGGCCTAGGCCTGGAAACCTGGAAGTAACTAAAGGTAAAAACAAGTTTAACCACTTCCTGTCCGCCTTATAGCAGATAATATATATGTGATTTTGCATTTCCGGGTAGGGGGCGCATGCCCTACCCAGTGTTGCCATTCGCGGCCACCGCTGTCAATCACTGGGTCCCAGCCTGTGATTACTCGCTGGCACACAGTGATTGTCGAGGATCTCCGATGGGGGGAGAACTGTTAGTAAACAATACAGTTCTCCTCTCTGTCAGCTGGTTCACACTGCTTTGAATGGCTGTGCACAGCGGAGCCTTGCAAAGCAGTGTGCTTTCAGTGAAGCATACAGACACAGCCCTATAGTAAAACACACCCAGCACACAGTTAAGCCTTTGATCGCCCCAGATGTTAACCCCTTTCTGCCCAGTGCCTTTAGTACAGTGTCAGTGCTTTTTATTAGCACTGATCACTGTATTGATGTCACTGGGGATATCAGTGACACCAAGTCAGTTCCCCGCAGTGTCCGAATGCCCGCCGCAGTCCCGCTATAAGTCACTGATCACTTCCATTACTAGTAAAAATAAAAAATCCCAGTATATATACCACCATTTGTAAATGCTACAACTTTCACGTAAGCCATTTAATTTACACATATTGGGATTTTTTTTTTAGCAAAGACATGTAGCAGAATACACTTTGGCCTAAATTTATGACGAAATTTGATTTTTTTGTATAACTTATACCTTAAGTACAGTTGTAACATGTTGCTAAAGCTGGAATTAGCCTTTAAAATGGTATGATCCCAAAACACAAAGGTGTATATATTTTGCAACTTATCATTTCTTAGTTGTGGTTGTTGCATTTTCTTATTTCTGAGTCCTTATTTGCTTTATTTTCACCTGGTGATTTGGCCAATAAGTTTAATATTTTTCACCTTCCACTAACAGATCAGGTAGTATAGAAAAAGTGACAGAGGGGTTGAGACAAAAGCACTGACGGGTGCTTACAGTAATCCACCTTTATTTATGCAAAACTTGTTGCTATAAATGCTTAAATGTATTAACTGGAATTCAGTTTTAATTTGTTAGTCAAGTCTATCCAAATCTGCTAGTGCATCTAATACTATCCTCCCTTCAGTCTGACAGTACTAGTGTCCAAAGATGTCTCTGTTGCTTTTCCAGTGAAGTGGAGTAGAGTGGAGCCATCCTGAGACAGAAAGTGTGTTACTATCTGCATCAACAGATGGAAATAAAGGGAAAGAAAATAAGAAAACAAAAAAAGAAAACAATTGCAGCCAGTTCCGCTTTGATTGTTCCCCTGCTCCCCATTAAGGATTGGCATCTTTGGACAGGGGGGGGGGGGGGGGGGGGGAACGGGTACCTGAATTTGACAGGTTCCCACTCCCACTGCGATCGCCTAGGTGATCGGAAACGAAAGTTGTTCTCCTATACCCTCCCTCCCCGAAGTCTTGTGGAACACATGACAGGTCCCAGAAGACGATGGGGCCATTCAGGAAGCGCAGCGCTACTCGCGCATGCGCAGTGGGCACCCGGCTGTGAAGCCGCAAGCTGTCACAGCCGGGTGCCCACACTGAAGATGCTGGCGCCTGTAATATAGGACAGCCGGTGAAAAGGGCTGCAGCGGGGGCAACGCGGGATCGTGGGACAGGTGAGTGGCTGTTTTTTAAAAGTCAGTAGCTACAGTTTTTGTAGCTGCTGACTTTTATTTTTTTACAGAGTGAGTGGAACTCCACTTTAAGGTTTGGTAAGCTGCAATATTTGACATTATTCTCTCTTTTAGTCCTATTGAATGTTGTGAAAACTGAAAGTAAAGGAAAATCCAAAATCTGAATTTTCACAAGAACAGGAATAGAGGAGGAATATTCCAATGGGTTGGGGGTTACCTACTACTGCTTTGGAAAAATGTTTTTTCCCATTTCCCGTTGTGTTTGCAGGATAGGAAGTGCAGAGAAATCTCCCCAGTGGGGACAGAGATGGCTAAAAGAACTCAACAGGGGGTGTAACCTGGAGAAATACTTTGTTACATTGCTGTTCAGCAGTCTGTGAGATGTTTTTTTTTGCAGACTAGAATGTTGTTTAATTTATCTTGCCTGTCTATTTGTGTCCTTCTAGGGATGACAGTGTTGGAAAGACTGAATTTTTCCAGCATCTAATTGAAGACCGATCAGAGGCTGCTTTCTCTTATTATGAATTTTTACTTCACATTCAACAGCAAATATGCAAGTAAGACGGGTGCACATGAAGCCTTTATCTGAAGAACATTGTTCCAGTATATACAGAGCTTTTTATTTGCCCTTTTGGCATGAGGTATAGAGACGGAACACGATATGGACGACACTGAAGTACTTTCTGTTCAGATTTCAATCCTATCAACAGGAGAGACCCTCCAGACTCTTATTTTAGTCAGGTTTATGTGTGTTCATTTTCTGGTGCTGTGCTTATTTTATGTGATGGATGTTTTCTTAATTTTTTTCCTGATGTTAGCAACTTTATTTTTCTTTAATCTCTATCTTCCAGACATGAATAGATGCCAAAGAAAAATGTTAAATCTTGTTTATACTTATAGAATTTTAACAGACTCTTTTGACATTTGGCATTCTTGACCTGGAAGGGTAGATCTGGTGTGTGTATCTATAGATTTGAAATTTAATGTACATAGAAATGCATTTGTATAGTAAGTGTAAAAATGTAACTAAGATATCTGATTTACTGAAGTGTGATGCTGTTACGAATGTAGAGCCATTATACGGATGAATGAGACCTGCTTACTACAAATGTTTAATAATTATCCCATTTTTTCTTTGTTACACTATTTTTGTGGATTTATTTATGACTCGTTTACTAATTAAACATATTTTGCTTGATCATGTGTTTTTTATACTTATGCAAGTGATATCTATTTTAGAACTGGACACCTAAATCTGTTTACCCTTGGCTTACTGGTAATGTAAATTCTTATTTATCTGGATTCTAATAGTAAAATTTTCAAACTTCTAAATGACTTTGTGGTTTCCTGACAGGTCCAGTGTATATATTTGTCTTTTATACATATATATTTTTTTAAGGTGTTTATTTAGTTTGTTTTCATAAAACAGTTATAGTAACAAAAAGAAAAGACAAACAGCAACAGCACCCTAATCTAAGAACATAAGAGTAAGGGTTACATGGAAGGGGGATTAAAGCAGTAATCGGGTTATTGCCAGGGCTACCATGAGCCCATTTCTAAAAATAATGACTGTTACATATAGAAACATTCCATGACATACAAGAAACCAAAACCAAAAAAAAAACCAAAACCATCATGCACACAGCCAATCACACACAACTCACGCAACCACACATGTGCCACCTATTCCCCATAAACGACTAGAGAAATAAAAAACCCATTGCCTCCACTACATTAGCACTAAAATATAACAGCCTCTTTCAGGCTATAGATCCCTGCGACAGTGACTGTGATAGTGGAATATCGTGCCAGGAAGAGTCTATGTCCAGCCAGGGTTGCCAGATTTTGTAAACTTTTTAGGGCAGGCCCGACCTTTGTAGATCAGCTTGTCAAGATTAACCATTCCGTAGAATCTTTAGGTCCAGTGTCATTGTTGCTTGCTTTTATTGTACAGATGGCTTATATGTGACTTCCGTTTTTATATCTGGGAGTATAAATTAAAATACCATATTGCTTTAAATGGAATAGCAATAGGAAACTTGAATGTGAACTAATGCTGATGAAGCAACTTTGGAGGAAAAAATTATAAACTTTTTGTCTTGTATAAAGTGGGAAAAAGGAGGACCCACACAGACCAGAACAGGGAGCATGATTCCAACCGCAATAAGAACCTGTCTAGAGTTAATATTTTTTTTCTTTCACAGGAATTTTATTAGTGAGCAATAACGATAAAAATAAACAATGCTTGTTTTGGTAATCGACATACATTATACAGTGCACTAGCAATAGGACAAGAGCACATTAGATATATCATAGTCACCTACTAAAAAACAATATAGGCATACAAAATAAAGCATTCAAATTAGGCCATTGTACATTGTGTCAAACCCTGTAAATTCAGAGTATCTAAAGCAAAATTGATTTTTTAGATACTTTCACAGTAGCACAAGTAAAATGTAGAAGAGGCCAATGTTTACACTTGCATAATGTTAGAGGGTTCATCTAGAGATGGATAAAAGACTAAAGCTGCCCATAGATGGATCCAGATCCTATCCTCGGACTACTGCAACATAACACATTTTTTTCCTTCAGTTGCTGGAAGTGATGCAATTTAGTCTGATCTTACAGACAACCTCCTATTGTATACTCCCACTTAGAATTTAAATTGTGGCACATGAACGACCAGATTATTCTTTTGCACCATGGGCAACAATGGACTTCAAGAGATTTAGCAAGAAGAAAGTTGCAGTTGATGATGGTGTCAAATCATTTACAGAGTAATGTGTACAATTTTGTGTATTCCCCTTGCCTATTGCCTATTCCCTATTGCCATACTTGTAAACATTCAAGGGGCAATGCATACACACAGATGTCTTCCAGCACCCTGACCATATATCATTTGTTGTGTCTGAGTACAGAAAGACATTCTTTTTGTTACAGTGAAAGCTCTTTTCTTTCTGGTTCACACACTTTCCTTGCTCATGCACATTTCCTTTTTTACATTTTTTACTCAAATGAGTTTCCCATCAAGGATTAGAATATCATTCATTCTCATAAAATGTTCAACATGTTCGATTGGTCATTTTCGATGGCCGCACAAAAATTGGCTGCCGTGTGGGCACATTATTAAGTAATTGAACAATTGTTCTTTTCAACATGAAATTGTGTTGTTTTCTTGATTCATGTGTGGCCTACTTAAAGCTACGTAGAGAAGAACAACACCAATACATGAGGGTACTATGATACAATAATAAGGACTTACTAAGTGTTACTAAACCCTGGACCCTGCAATCACTCTATCTGGTCTCCCACTGTACACAACATAGAAATGCAATTATTTTAGTAAATATAAACTGCTAAATTATCTTTCTAATCAGCAGTACATAGCAGTCTTGTGACATCTATCAGCGTCATGCTGAGCACTGGTTAATCTTGGAAGGGGAATTTTCATTCTCCCTGGCTGTCCTATGAGGCCGCATAACTTCTGACTCTCTGGACAGTGCTGATTGGCCCTATGCTGATCACATGCACCCTCCCAAAACAAAAAATCTCTAGCAGTACACAGCAAACTGAGCATGTGCAGAATGCCTCCTAGGACTCTATACGATCAGCAATAGGATTGGGAGCTGTGGAAGAAGGGGAGGATTGGAGAAGACAGGATCAAGCAGCCTCTTTATATAATGCAGAGGATTAACCCCTTAGGTTCCACAGTGAGTATAACAAGCATGCTTTACTGCATATACAGACTGATTTTATTGTTGTGAGTTTAGTAACACTAACATATAAAATGAGGATAGTGATTGTGGATAACAAAGTGTCCAAGATAAATTCACTAGCATATGCTGTCACTACTCTTCACAACTGGTTTAAGACAAAGGTGCCAAAAACCGAGTGCTGTGGGGGAGTTAGTGATACATGACCAGTAATGGATGGCAGAACAAAACTAGATTTTATTATGAAGGAGGAGCATAGCCGGGACTGAGAAGTGGGAATAGGTAAACAGAGAGTGACTGGGGATATGTGACAGTTGAAAGGAATAGATCTGGTACAAATGATGAACAGATCAATAGAGACGGGGAAGGAATTAAAAAAAAAAAACCCAAAAACATAGGAAAGGTCAAGGGGGAGATACACGAGAGGAAAGGAGAATAATATGTGTACAAACTCCAAACTGGCCCGTGGGCCAGATACGGCCCTTTGCTTGCCTTTTTCATTGCCTTTATCCCTTGGGTCACTATTCCTGACACTGATATTAACAATGGGGCACTAATCCTTCTACTTCACCAAGGAGGGGGCACTGTTCCTTTCACTTCACCAACGATGGGTCATTATTCCTTCCACTTCACTACCTATGGGGCACTATTCCTCCCACTGAAACAAATAATGGGACACTATAACACCCACTAATACCAATGATGTGGAACTATTTAATTCTTTTTTACTCCCACTGACAACCAAGCCTGAGATGTTATCTACTCCCACTGACGCTGGGGCATTATCTACTTACGCTGGCTGCAGTTCAGCCTTACTAAAGCCTAAAGGACAGTAAAATGGCCCTTTGTTTAGAATGTTTGGTTAACCCTGCTCTAGAGTAAATGCCAGATGAGAAGAAACAGGTGAATGAATGACAAAGTCTTACTAAAAAATGCCCAGGAACAAAGTTGGGGGAGGAGTCAGAAAATCATAACGTGATGGATGGAAAAGAAGAAAAATATTCTGTTAGGGAACTGAAAAGATGGGACAGAATGTATAGGTAGTAGATTGCAATCAAGAAAAGGGGAAATATATTTACTTGTGGGAAGGCATTGCAGTAAAGTTACATGTACTTAATCCACACACAGTAAAAGACACAACACTGAGGTGCAGATGACCACAAAAACAAGGGCAAAGGTAATAAAAAAAAAAAAAAAAAACCAAACAAATGTGTGCATGTTCTAACTCTCAATTATTAAACTAGTTGTGTGTTATATGAAAATACTGACTAAAAAGAGATTGTGTGCACGAGTATCTGAATGAAAGAAACGTTGTGTATAAAATGTGATTGAGAAACCAAAATAAAATAATGGAGAATATCAGGACTGAAAGTAATATCAGCTAAAGAATGGCTAAACAAAAGTTTCAATGGCCGAAATTACACCGCCAGCGTTTAATCTATAAATCCAACATGTCTCATGCTTGCATATCTTTGTAAACCTGTTGGAATATTTAGGTTTAACATTTCTTTGACAATAGTAGGTAAAGTTTTTATTTTGATGTGTTATGAAGTGCCTTGAGGCATGTTCTTTAAAATCAAATTTGATGTTGTGTATTTCTCCTCTTTTGAAAATGTTTGAATTGTCCTACCAATGTATTGAAGATGACAGCTGATGATAAAACATATACTACATATTTTGAAGAGCAATAAGGACTTAACCAGTTCTGCCCTATAATAAAATGAAGGCCAGGCAGGAGCTTTCCTATCCTGGGTGGATATCATATGACATCCTCCCAGGCATGCACCTTGTGCTCACCCCCTGAGGTGCAACTGCTGTGTGCATCCGGATCAAAGAGATCGATATCAG